TGAATACGTTTCCAACTATCTCTATATCTAATATATAAGCAAAGTGTAGCAAGCGTGCTCGTACTAAACATTCAGCTCTGATGATAATAGGATATGGACGAATGAAATATTTACTGAAGAAGCAGGAATATTGAATAAATATGTATACTGTTTCGTTACAGGTCATTAGTAAGGTCATTAAAAACCTATCTCATATTAAATGCCGTAAAAAGTTCGCACTTTTACTAACCACAATCATTTTTAATACTGGAAAAAAATCTTTTTTACATCAAGACGAAACATAGCCGTCTGGTAATTTCATGCATATCACAGCTTTTGTTTTAATTTATATTTATTTTCCCTTCCTATTTTAATAAATATAAAAAAAGAAAAAAGGTACACAAATCAATATGAATAAAATAATTAAATTATATCATATTTTACTAAGATACTCTTTGTATTCATGAACGTAGTTTCATATTATATTTCAATAGCTGGCTATCTTTAGAAGATAATTATTAAAGCATTAATATTAATAATCGAATCATTAATATTTGGAATAATTGTAAAATACAAAAATATTTTTATTTTTACGATGAGCGTAATTTTTAAGAGTAACAAAAAGAAAAAATGAAGATAGATAGGAAGGAAAAGGCCATCTGTGGATAAAATTGATATGTACGAAAACGTCAGACTCGTGCAATCCTTAAGTTGCCATACCTTCACTTGCACGTATCTATCATTAATAAAATTAACACATTGTGAACATTCTATACATCGATAATGGTGTATTAACTACAATTGTATATAATATTTAAAAATAATTATAAAAACATTTTCTTAATGGCGCTACTGCGGTAGCATTTAACGCACACATATCGAGCATAAGCTCTTCCAGGATATCGCCATATTCTGTTCCGCTGTATAACGGACTAACTACCTCTTTTCCTCTTAAAACCAGAGCACGTATTCACATCTATCTTTATCTTCTTACTCTCCTTTCACCTTATTTCATTCTTCTATACGCCCACACTTATTATAACCCATACGTTTCGTACGAATACTATATTGGATCAAGAATTACGAATTCTAATTATTATCTAGATGTATACGAATTCATGTTAGAAAAAAATATTAAAGACTATTGAATTTATTTTGAAAATTTGATGCATAACTTTTTCAATTCAAATATTTTTAAATTTTCAAATCATATAAAAATTATCTTAAATGCAATTAAGCTAACTTTTTATAAGCTTTGAATAATTTTATATAATATAATACCCACGTTGAAAGTTTTAAATTTAGATAAATTAAATTTGATAATAATCAAAATTAAACTTGATATTAATTAATTATTGCAAGACAATTTTTATTAAAAAAAGTAAACGTTAGTTTTAATATACTTATAACACTTGATTAAATTTCAAATGAAATTCTTAAAATATATTTTTATTATATATCAAAAAAGTTTTAAATTATATTTAAAATCTGTAATTGTAATTTAATGTAATATTATAAATTTTATGTTGAATTTTTCTCAAATTCAAAAAAAAAGCATTTAACAATATAAGTAGTATGTATGTTAATAAACACGTATACACAAATTACGGACAGATCATAGTTCATGCCAAAAAAAAGCTTCAATGCAAAGTCCAACTACTCATTAATTGCAAAGCATATCGTTTTGGAATCTTGTTCTTGATTCCTTGCCTATGAACACCTCACATTTGATTTAGATTTAAGGCCTTACACTTGCACTACAACATTAATTATTATAAACGTCTACTGTGTAAATAGTTTATTACATAAAAGAATTAATGTTAATAATATATTTTTCTTTAGATATCATAAAAAATATCAGTCATTCGCAAATAAGATAATAACTAATTTAAATCTTTTATCTATTGTTGTATATTAAATTATGGTATTATATATTATACCAAGTAATTTAGTTATGTAAACTTTAATTATATAACTAAGCGTTGTTTTTCAAGTTTCAATTAATTTCATATTATATCTTTCATATTCATATAAATTTATTTAATATTGTACGTCTTTTAAAAAAGCGGTATTTATATTATAAATATTAATATTCGATAATATTCGTGTAAACCTATTTTTAATTCTAAATTCACAATTTAGTTTCATTTTAATTTCCTTCCAAAATCTGAAACGTGTAAAGAATGATAGAATATAGAAATTTTATACAATAATTCAATAATCAGAGTTCCTTAGTAGCTACTACTTGTTTCGTGAAGTATTTAATGTAACATATATACAAAAACGGGTAAAAATAAACAAGATAAATTGCAGAACCTTTATTTACTTCAACGAGAATCCCACTGTTCATAATGTGACATTTTAATTCATTTATCATTTCTGCTATAGATTTATAAATGCTTCTTTAATTAATTATGTACGTCCATATTTTATACATGTTTCCTTAAAATAGCATAAGCAATAGAGTTCTAATTTGTATAAAGGCAAGCAAATGAAATTTTTATTGAATTTGCTAAATATGTTTTAAGTTATGTTAGAGATCCTTAAGTAACGAAATCGATAAATTTTTATTTAAACTTTATTTATTATAAGAAATATAACATCTATTTAAATTTCAAATATTAATAATTTTATAAAATAAGATATAGCAAGATAAGATAAGTAAGATATATATATAATATTTATAAAATTAGATAAAAAACAATAAAACTTAGCATAAATTGAGAAAGAGAGAAAGAAAGTATCTGTATGTGAATGCTAATATACGAGATAGAGTCTAGCTAACGTAGAAGTATATATATATATATATATATATATATATATACATATATATATTACCAAGTATTTAGAATGGAAGTAATAAACTTATTATAAAGATATAAATATTTTAATTATATAATATTTATAACATGTTCTTAAAATATAATGTACTATCACTATTCATACTCATATGCAAAATCTATTATTTAACGTATTTCTGCAAACCTTTCAATCTAGTATTTCGGAAAGAAGCGAACATCAATATGTATTTAAAATATAAATACCTGTACTTTTATGTGACTATAACGTAAAATTTATTAAATACGTAGAATATTTTAAGTATGTAAGTAAATTGAGATTAAAAACTAAAGATAACTAATATTACATAAAAAAACAATTGATATTTAAAACAAGGGGGGGGGGGCGAAATGAAGGAATCGAAGAGAAAAAATGTATATAATTTATATTAATTTATGAACAAGCATTATTTTTATTTATTTTATATTAAGATAAAAAAATTAACCTCAAAATTCAAAATATATTCCTCAAAGAGGAATATATAATTATAAATAATAAACAAGCTTACTCAATATTAATATAAATATTCGTTATAATGTATCATAGTCAGTAAGTAAATACTTACACGGATAATTTTATACTTAAACATGTTCAAGAAATTCATAATCGTAAACCAATGAGAAATATCTTCAAGTTATCTATCCAATATAATTTCGTTCATTTATTATTTCATTTTGAAAGAATGATTTTCAATTTCGACAATATTTTTTATAAACGAGATTAAAATATTAACATATTATGATTTATTAAAAAATCTGAGTAAATAATCAAGAAAAATAGTATTTCCACATTTTATAAAAATTAGTTTCTTTAGTTAGTGACTATTTTCTACGCGATCTTTGATAAAAAAATATATGATATAAACCAGTAAAATAGCATATATTGCATCGAAAATTTGTCTTTCAGTTAAAAGTGAGATCCTAATGTGCGCATTGCGCACATAATATATGGGTTAAGAAAATGACACGGTGAAAGCGCGTCACACAATAAAAGTTGTGCCGAGTGGGTGGTATTGGCTTGCGCACGCTCATAAAAAAGGAATTAAAGGTAGGAGAGGGGCGATAAATTCCTGATTGACTACGATATGATCAAAACAACTGCCACACCTAAAAGGCTAGAAGTTTTAGGCAAGAACGTTACGTATGCTTGTGAGCTTATGTGCAAGAGAAAATTGAAATAAACATAAATATATTTACAACTATCAAATTCTGTATAAAAATCTTGTGTGTGATGTCAATAGATAAGTGCGAAACAAATTAGAAAAACGACCTATCGTGAGTCCACAAATTTACAAAAAAAATGCACAAATAGAAAAAATAGTTTACCGGTCGATTCATTCTATTAAAGTATGAGCATAGCTTTTATTTTTAATTGAATTGATATGACTATTACAACATTTATATCTATAGGATTTAGAATTTTGTAAAAGTATTTATCTGCACACATTAAGTTTTAGATTAAAATAATAATGTGTAATTAATTAATATATTATATTGCACAATATGTGAATTACAAATTTATTGATAAAATAACGAAGTTTATAAAATATCATCTATATTTTTAATCACTTTCAATTCAACGGTTACCAATATTATGATTATTGATATTTCCCATTTTTTATTCAACATAAATTCACGTATCACTAATGATAATAACAACAATAATAATAACAATAACGACAAATAACAACAATAATAACAAAAACAAGAGTAGTAGTAATAATAATAATAATCATAATAATAATCACAATATTAATAATAATAACAATAATAACAATAATATCACTAATGTTGTTGTTGTTCTTATTTAGTAATATGTTTTTTCATAGAATAATGCCCTAAGGTCAACATAATAACATAGTGTTGAGGTATATTTGCCAAAACAATTATTATAATGAATTACAAAAATACTATTATATAAATACAAATTAAAAATGCCATACATAAATGTCATGCATAAACCCTACCAAACATAAATTAAAAAAATATTTAATGTGGGTAAATATAAATAAAAGGGCCTACAATCGTACTAGAAAATAAATCGTTTAAATCTCAAGAGTATTGATGAAATTTCTAAGTAGCCCAGGCGTTTGATAAGGCTTGGGGTCAGCTTTATAAAAAAAAGGAGTGTAAAAAATCGTAAAACTCGATGATGCGAATCTTGACATTTTTGGCTTTTTTTAGATGGGGCCCAGGCAGATAGCGAAGTCGCAGCAGGAGCAGGGCCATCGGCATCCAACGGCTAAATACTAAGTACTCTGGGTTGGGTGAAAAGGGGGGGGGGAACTGGAGCCAGAGGCAGAATTGTGCAACTCTCGTGGACGAAGATCCATGGCAGCAACCGATGGGCAGATCGTTGTGGCCGCGGCCCGCTGGGCTGACGAGGCAACCTATCTGCGTGAGTTCGTTGCCAAGTATCGATTGCCTGCTGTCATTAAAATCACCAAGGGTCAATACGGCGGCCTCGGTGTGCCCACTCTTCCCGCCCCTAGTCTCCAGAGCACCGTTTTACTGGTTTCGGCGGGTCGGCGTCGTAAAATTGTTGCTCAAGCCGTTAAGATCAAGGTACCTCTATTACCTGTCCTTCTAATACTTCATTCAAGCGTCATCCGAGATTTTCATTTTATGTGATAATTCCTCGATGATCTTTTCATTTTCATTTGTAATATATAATAAATATACAGTCTCATGCAGCACAAGCTGATACCAAAATATTTTATTCTAAACTTTCTCAAACACTTCTACTGCTATTTGATAAAAACTATTCGATGATTAAATATGAATAATAAACAATATTTGTCAAAGTATTTATTGAAGTTACAATTTTAAAAGAACAAACCGTGAAGAAAGGTAGTAGAAGTCTGTATAATATTATAGTTATAAATCGATTTAGGTTTTCTAGCAAATTGTCCTGGCACAATCTTCCATCACATTCTCATAATAAATAATATTCTAAAGAATTTATGATACTTTTAGACCAATCCTTTTCTTTAAATAAAAATGTAATAATACTAAATTTTTTCAATTACACACGTTATAATAATGTAAATGTTTATATGAACTTTGAATTTATTTCTGAAAATAATTAATAATGGAGTTAGTTTGACATATTGTAATAAATTCCATCCTATTGAGACTCGACGTATATATTATATATAAGAATATAAATTTTAACATTAAATTACGTAAATTTGTCAAAACATTTTTTTTAAGTTTTAAAATTTTAATGCTAAAATAATTTATATAAATAATATATATATTTTTTTAATATTACAAATTTCATGAAAGATTCAATCTTCTGTAAATATCATAATATGTATATATATATATATATATATATATATATATATATTAATTAATGTACATGTAGTGTATAAATGACTTATAGTACATTTTTCATAAAAATTTCGTATATAAGTAAACCGATTGACAAATATTCAAATTGATATAAAATTTTTATAAAAATAATATTGAAAATCTAAAATACATCATAGGTTATAAAATATTTTAAAATATTAAAGATATCATGTATTCTATAAGAAATATTTAAGGACTGTAAAATTTATAAATAATTTTTTAAAATCACAGTCTTATATAACAGCAATCATAATAATAATATTTCAAATATATTTATATTTAATATTAAAGTATTGCTTAATTTTATTTTAAATTATTTTTGCTCAAAATTCAGCATAAGAAATAAATTTCATAATTTTAATTTCAAAGGCTGTTTAAATAAACCATATACACGTTTCGATATAAAATCAATTTTAATGAAATACTCCTATTTATTGTGATACAATAATACTTTATGCAATAAAGTTTTATGCTATAATTTTACGTTGACCATATATATTCATTTCTATCTTAAATCTTTATGAATTCATTAAGATATATTACTCAATTATAGTCTAAATATTTATGTATAATATTAAAATGATGATTTAATATGCTAAATTAAATGACAAATAAAACTTTCAATATATATTATGAATTAGATGTAGGTGTTAGATATATATTTTTCGAATAATCTTTACAGCTTAGATTAAATAACAATCTACAATGTGATATAAAATATATCTATTTTCTAATAAATTTCATGATTGTAATTTCGTATTTGGAAAGATACTAATAGCAAATATATGAATGAATATGAATATATAATACAAAACTGCATTTAATAGTCTAATTATTTACATGATTATATTAAAAACTTATATTAAACTTCAAAAAAAAATTTATATTAAAAACATAATTTGAATATAATTATCAGAACATAGAATTTTTTGTAAATTTATCTTGTATATTTAAAAAATATTCATTTATAATATATTACAAAAAAAAATTCACTTTTGCTTTTTATAAATTGAATACATATTTAACGTCTTACAAATAATCCAAAATAATTGTAAGTACAAATTGGTTTCCCAAATTAATTAAATAAACTATTTTAATTAATTTAATAAACTAAATTAATTAAATATATAATATTTAATAGTTTTTTAATAAATGTTACTAAAATTGATATTTGATATATTTAATTTGATATATATTAAAAATAAATTTTTAAACATATTTTTAATTTAATTGTACTATTAAAGCTTGATACAATATTAAAAATTATTTGTTTCTTCAAATACATTAAGTATCGATTAAAGATAATTAATTATTAATATAACGATACATTCAGTTTTTATTGGTTTGTAATAAAATTTGTATTAAAATACTCAATAAATTATTTATGAAACACTACAACTTCTTCTTTATTTATTTAACTTAGTTTATTTTTAACTGGAATTAATAGGTTTCTTATATTTCGATCGAATAATAAATTATTCATCCATTTATATATATTTTATCCTCAAGAGTATATTCTACCGGGTGTCTTTTTATTAGGATCAAAATTAAATATAAAAGAAAAATGTTTTGATAATAAATGCACATGATAAGAATGTAGTAAGAAATGTAATAAATTTGAAGTGTATAATCGTTCGCAAGATATTATTATCAATTATAGAAACCTAACGAATGCATCTGATAGAGTTATCAACAAAGTAATTAAACTAGCTTCTAGAAGCTTCAAAATCAATTCAATGTTAGAACAAATATTTAAGATTATTTAAACGAAAATGATAGACTGAATATAAAATATAATTAGGAGTCTTTATATTTCTTCAATAATGTTTATAAAATAAAGTCTCTATTGTTTCTATTGTTTATTATATAAAAAAATCTAATATCATTTATAATGTGAAATAATGGATTAAAAATATATGATTCAGAATTAGAAGTAAATCATCTATTTATTGTAAATTACAAAAATCGTATTTGTCCATATTTTCTATTCACCAAAAATTCATCCATATAGTATACACAAATAAAAAAAGAAACTGCTAATTTTGGGAACAGATAATTCCGTAAAAGAAAAATTCTTAATAACTAAAATGATTAAAATCGTTAATAATTAAGGATATACTCTTAAGAACTAAAATCATTAAAATGTTTAATAACTATGAAAATACGTAATATACTCATGTATGAAAGTTAGATGAAGTTGTAAAAGCATTATCAGAATATAAAATCAATAGAGATTTGTAAGATTATTTATCAAAAAATTTTAATTTATATTATTAGATATTCGCGTTTCTGAAATACAAGCTATTTGAAAATGCGATTTTATAAATATGATTGCAAAAAAATTTTTTATATTGAGACATTGTAAATTATATTTGTAATACAGGATTTAAAATCGATATTCCGTAGCTTGCAAAATGATTTAATCCCTAAGCTATGCGCGGTATAACAATTGATTAGCAGAGGCTGTGACTGCTGTAAATTTAGGTCTACCATTAATTAAAATAAAAAAAGTAATTCCTTTCGAAAGTCCCCGATCTAAAGAGGGTTGCCTGTAAGCAGCGAAAGGGATTATTTTTCGGTAATAGCAAGTACGAAGAAAATAACTCGAGGCTCGTGGCTTCTGTAGGAAGGGCGTCGAGTGGTGGGCGTAGGACCGCGGCTCGCCATCCCCGATTCCTATGTGGGCTACTTCGAGATCCTGAGTGAGGAAGGTCGCGCTGTCCGAGGTATAGAGTCGGTGAGCGAACTCGCACGCCGCTGTCCCGAGGAGGGGGCTCTCGTGCGCGAGAGCGTCCGTGGCCTCGCTTGCAAGTTCGATGAAGCGGGCTCCGTTCTGCCCGAAGGTACCCGCATCCTCCATGCCGGCGATACAATCGTTGTACTTGGAGAGTTCGTTCTGCCCGGCCGCGGGCGCTTCTTACGATGCGTAGACTGCCGCGGGGAGGGTATTCTCCTGCCGATGGAGCAGCGAGCGCGCTTTAGCGCCCTAGCGCGCGAGGACAACATCAGCGGTGTGCATACGGCCCGAGCCCTCCTGAGCAAACGACTACCACTGACGGTGCGTCTAGTGCATGGACAACCACCACGAGGCCTCAAGTCGTCCTCGCATTTTTTACCAGAGCTGCGGCTGCTCTCGAGTTTTGAGGAGGAGCACGTGTTTGCTCTGCCGTTACAACGGGAAGGTGCAGCGTTAGCCCTGCCATTGGCCGCACCCCTGAAACTCGTCAAGGCGCGAAACGAGGAGGTTCTGAGAACAATGCCAGAACTAGGGAGGCTCATCGAGAGAGCCTCCAAACTGGTGGCGGACGTTGCCGATAGGTAAATGAAACTCTACTTTTTTCCACCTCCACGTTCCCCGCACCGCCCCTTTTCCTCCTCCACATCTTCTCCACCCTCATACACATTCTTATCATTTTTAAATGCTAAATGCTGTTGTGACTCTTTTTTATTACTGTTTGAGAGCTTAACATCGATAAATCTTATAAATACTTAATTTTTATTTCCATCTACTGGTTTTATGTTCTCGTTAATTTTACGTTATCGATATTACTGCTTTTATAATAGTCATAAATTAAAAAGATCTTGAAAATCATTATCTGAAAAAATCGTACTCTTTTAATAATGTAATTATAACATTTTTATTTATAATAGAAAATTAGCAGATAGCAAATTTAAATTTAAAATATAATGAATTTAAACGATTTTAAAGGATTCGTTTTAATTTCATTGATTTTAAATGTTATTATAATGTAGAAAATTCAAAACAGACGAATGAATTTTCTTTTTGATAATTGTATATTTATTACTAAATACAATATAAATATATTTTGCACTGTTAAATCTTTTGAAGCTTACCAAATGGTATAAAATTTAACGACTTGACAAAAAAATTACGCAAGTCTCTGTAGTTTTTTTTATCATGATACTTATTAAAAAAACTATCCAAACATAAAAATTCTTTTAATATCATATGTTTATGTATTTAGTAAAAATAAGAAATTTAATAATATTATGTGTTATAATTTATTGATGTAAATTTTATCATGAATATTATCGTTTGAAACCATTTACATATAGAATTAAGAACTTGAGAAAGATTGTTCATGATTATTTGCACTCTATGCATATACTTAACATATTTCATTAAAAATACAAAAAAAGAACAAAAAAAAAAAATAAAAGTAATTTTATAGGGCTCACGTTTTGGATGGTAGATTGGGGGATAATAAATCTAACCGTCAAAGTCGAAGCGGTGGATTTCTCCGGCGTTCGGCAAGTTCCGATAGTGCAAATATTGGCACCCATCACCGACATCACCATCACCACCATTACCATCAGCACACCACATCAAACCATGGTCACGGTTATCGAGACGAAAACCGCGTACCGCCGTCTACTTATACGGAAGAGTACGACGAAATTGATCAGATTTATGACTATGTACGAGGTTTCGCACCTCTACCCAAGACCGTGAGGCCTCCCTATGAAAATGGAATCCTTGGAAATGGTTTAACTAGCGTCAATCAACAATCAAATGGCTTAGTTAGTCCATTATTCGCATACTACTTCTTTAAGATTTTAAGCACACACTTAGCCACTACTTCCTATCAATTTCTTTTATTATTGATCTTTTTGCATAATTTAAAAAATAATATTATACATATTTAAAAATATTAATTTTAATTATAAATTTAAATATTTGAACACTATGAGGCTATTGAGTGTATAGAGTTTTACATTGTATTATTGTTTTTTTTTACATTTGTCTGTACAATCATATTATTAGCCTCAACAAATCGGTATTATTTTTAAAAGCACTTGTAGCATAAAACAATTCCATGAAAACATGTAAAAATTTAATAAGGTGAATTATGAATAAAATAAGAATAATTTTATTTGCATTTGAAATGGTAATATACTTTAAAGAAGTTTCAGTGTAAAAAATTGTCATGCCTATAAATATTTAAATTAGTATTTTACTGTTAAAATGAAATATAATATAAATAATTATATACATATATATATATATACATAATTAAAAAGAAAAAACTTACTGTTATTTTCATAAATTTCGCACGTACACACACGCACGCTAGCTCGTTGACCTATATATATATATATATATATATATATATATATATATATATATATCAATAAGTGTGAGAATCAGTAATAATTTAAAACAACTTAGTCAATATGAAATTCGTATGGTCGTATACTTAGTTCGATAAATTGAAATATGTTTTAAATGTGCATTAGGGAAGTTCAACATTAACACCGGTAACGGTGACAATCACACCACTGTTAGATGATAGACCCGAACCACCTCCTATTGAAACAATACCGACAAAAAAAAATCAGGCTGAAAAACGAACGCGTCGAGCTGTGAAGGAGGGGCCACCTCCTACATCAACGACAACAGGCGGCATGATACGACCGGAGAAACCTCCGTTGGCAAAACTGTACGTAAAGAACAGTGGTACACAAAGAGGTCGGCCGCTCATGAGACAAAAAAGTGCATCGCCACTGAAGGAGACCCCGCCGAGCTTTAAAGGCGGCTCACCTCTCTTTAACATTCGCTACAAGAGCCTTACAAACTTGCAACAGGCAATGGAGCTTGACGGCACGCTCGACTCCAGTCATTCAGGTGGCAGAACTTCGGGTGATTCTGGTGCTGGGGCCAAGTTACCTGAAAAAAGGTGGGATCTTCATCTTTCAACATGAGTTAAAATATATGATATAAATTTTTACTTTCTTTTATGACTTTTCCCTATTAGGCATATACAATTAATTTCCGATACAAACACGAGTGCGAGCGCGCGCACGCACACACACGCGATAATTGCACATTTATTGAATAGTTATTAAATAGACGTTTCCTAATTTTTATTGAAGAAATTTGTAAACAAAAAATTAATCTACAAAAATAACTGAGGAAATATATAAATAACCAAGTGTAATTGTTTAGAAATTAATCTTTAAAAAATTATGTAACAGAGTTTGTTTAAACAAAGAAAAATGTTAATCGATGCACGGGCATATATTTGGCAGATCACGACGACTGAGCAGACCGCGGTCCCTTACAAATCTTGTTTGGGAGCTTCGAAACGGAAGTGGCATTGGTGGTTGTACAAGACCTGAAACACCTCCGATAGCAACAGTGATGCCTCTGACTCCAACCAAATGCGGACCCCGTCTCGCTGTCACTGTCATAGCTCCCAGGCGCGTCGGAACCCTCTACCTCTAATGCATAAGTAATAAACTTATCTTCATATTATTTATTTATAAAAAAATATATTAACTATTATTTATACAATATCCTTTTATTTGTAAAAGAAAATATTAAATATCTGAATGTATTGCAATAACAATTTTTCTTAATTTAATTTAGAAAAGAAAATATGTATTTCTTTCTTTTATTATTCAGCCTTCAAATTTTATTGTTAATTTATAATGATGATAAAATTTATGTATATAGGATAATTAAATACTTTGATTTATAAAATTACTTTACCTAATATTTCTGTAATGTTGAGTCATTTATAATTTGATCGATTTATTTAATAATGACGTAGAGCCTTCAATTAATTAATATAATGTATCTACACTTTATTTCAAATTATTTATTAATATTAATTTCAAATATCATTGTTTCTTAAATAATTAAATTTACATTAAAATATAGTTAGAGGCGAGAGAAAGGATGCTTAAAAATTTAAGCACAGCATTGTTAAAGAAAAGATGATGATAGGTTAAAAGAAAAAATGTTATAAGAGAAAAACAGTAAACAAGAGTAAATATAAAAATTGTTACTGAAATGCTTATAACCAATTTTTATTCTCTTCAAAATTTATACTAAAATTCTAAAAGATTGCGCTCGATAATCTATCAATTCAATTGTACTTTTTTCGTTTCTTTAAAGAGCATTTTGTTTAAGAATTTAGGAATATTAGCTTAATTATATTAATATTTTAATATTAAATACATTAATATTTTAATATTGAATGTGAAAAATATTTATATCATATACATTGAAATTGTTTGCTTTATTAGAGCTAGCTATAGTACAAATATAAAATGATATTACTAAATACATGAAGTATTAAGTACGTGAGAAAGAGAGAACTTTTCATATATTCAAATAGGAAGCAATATTTACTTAATCATAAAATATTTATTGAGTTGTTTTATTTCTTACAAATATATTAGAAATATGTATCGTATGGTCAAATCTATAAAAACGAATAAATCTTGAGCCAAATATGTTATTGCACAATATTGATCTTATTCTTTACAATTAATTTGATGTTGAGTTTCTTAAACTAAAGATTGCCTTACGTTTACCTTCCAGAATATATTTGGAAATTCACTAAAATATTTCTCATTTAATTTTTAATTCATCTAATTCATAATTATTATGTAATTATGAATAATTATCTCAAAAAAATTTTATATAAGATTTAAATTATCTAAATGATAAAATCTTATTTAAATTATGAAAAAATGTATGACATTATATAAAGTAATTATAAAATACAAATAGAATGATTGTAAATATTCCTAATATCATTATTTTTCAATTAGTTATTTTAATTTAAAATTGTATATAATTTATATAATAAAAATACCTTCAAAATGATAGTAAAATAAACTCAATAAATATTCAGTAAGACTTTGATAAATATATAAACAAAATTTTAAATAATTTTTTATTATCTTTTTCAAGAAAAAAAGGTTTTTTAAAAACATTTTTGCACGCCTTTGGAAAAAATATAAGAAAGAATGAGTAAGCCAAAAAAATTAACATCCTTTAGTATCCAAGTTAATCACAATTAATTTTTTTCCTACAAAGGGAACTGAAAAAGTTTCAAATATTCTCGAATAATACTCGCTATAACATTACCAATAATTTCTTCGTTACAAATCCTATCCAGCTTTTACTAAATATAACAGAAAACAATTTAAATAATGATATAGACTTCAATTTAAAAATGAACTATATAATGAAAAGATTAAGAATTGGAATAAATGTCGACATTGTGAACTGAATGTAAAAGTAATCATATCACATAATAGAACTCAATAAAGTGAAATTATAGCCGCTTGTTGTAGAAAACGTGGGTGTTCGGTATTTAAGCGGGTGCGGCTCATGTAGGGTGTGACACGAGGTTACGAAGAAAGTCCTACTCAACTTCTTCGATGTGTCGACAAACACCGTTGATAATTTAATTAATAATTTTCAAATAAAATTAATTTTTATCTAGTATCAGCTTTACTTTTATTATCTTGCTTTTTTTGTCAATTTTAAAACAAACAAAATAAATATGTGACTGCATGTCAAGGCTGTAAAAGTGAAAGCGTTTCGAAGAAAAATAGTGCTTTGCCATGCAACTGGAATCTATAGAATATTATATTGTAATTTATTATATTACAAATGTTAAATTAAAAATTGGAAATCTCAAAATGTTGTTATTATTATTTACTTTCTTAATCTTATATTTTTCCGCCATTCAATTATTATACTGGATAATTATTTATTAATACATCTTAAAAAACGGGGAGTATTTGACTCTCAATCAGAGGCTTAAAGAAATATTAAAAATATAAAATTACTGCATTGACTATATTATATAACTACTTATTGATAAGCATGAAAGTAATTATAGCTTGATAAAAATAATGTTTTTATACATAAAGATACGAAACACCAAGAGACAACAATACTTTCCCCCTTCCTTATTTCAGTATTTTACTTCTGCAAATTCTCTTTTTAAAATGAAGATTCATTGTTCGAGGTTAATTGTTTGAAAAAGCCGGAATGTTAGTAGTTTACAGTACTATTGATATATACATACATGCATGTAAACGTAAAATATAATTTATCAATTTGGCAAGATTTTAATAAGTAATTTCAACTACTGCCAACTTAGCTAATAATTTAAAATATTTTCCATATTAAATTAATTAAAATAGGAGTCCTGATTATTATGCTTATATTTAAATACCACATCCGAATGATTTATATTTCAATGCTAATAAAAATAGAGATATTATAACAAAATTGAAACTATTATATTTACTTGATTAAAGGAGCTGTTGTATAATTTATGGTATTCGCTTCTTTTTTTTATGAAATAGCAGAAATTAAATATGTAATAAATATATGATTTATCAAGTAATAAATTAGCGTTTCTTAAATTTTAAAAAATTTAAAAATTTTTAATTTAGCTAAATGTTATTGCTCATATTGAAATAATAATAAAATGCATTTCATGATAATATCTTTATAAAAAATGTAATTTTTTTAAGAATTTTGTTCCTTATTTAAACTTTGATGCGATATATTATACCATCTGCTAACTGGTTTTGAATTTATAATTGAATGTTATATTTGACAAATCAACTATTCGTTACTTCTATTAATCGTATTACATGAATTACATTAATAATTTATATTAAAATAAGTTTTAAATCTTTTCTGGCACAGAGTAATTATGATATTATAAAGAAAATATTGATATTAATAAGAATTGAAAAGTTATTGTCTATGTCATAATTAATATATTAATAATATCATCGATAAATAATTATCGGATAAATGAAAAGAATAAATATGCAACTTAATAAGGAATTATTATTGATGTAAAACAACAAATGTAATTAACTCTAAAATAAAAAATAAAATAATTAACTCAAAGAACAAGGCATGTGTTACTCGTAATAATAAATATTTATGAAGATTCAAAACTTCCATATACAATAATTGTACTTAAGTATATTATGAAAAATTTGATGGCAAATTCTGAGAAGAATGAAATAACCGCTCATAGTTATTCTTAAGAATTATATTATCTTACACAACCACACTTTTTAACTCTGTAATACGATATCCATTCTTCTTTTAATTCATTGAGCCAAAGTACTATATCTTTTTTCACATTCGTATCGTAACTATTTTGGCGATATATAACTGTATATGGAGAATCATGTATATATTTATGGCTCAATATCTTTTATCTTTACAATGAGCATTTTACAACCGAATAAGATATGAATTATTGTCACTGAATATTACGAAGTATACAACGTTTTGCCACGTTAATCTAAATAATGCATCGATAAACGGTTTTCTGCATAATAAAATATTACCTTTTTTTATTACTTTAACTCTATTACACAACTGCGTCTTAATAATGATTATAAAATAGCTTTTTTTATATAAGAATTTATTTATATTTATCTTACACTAAGAATATTTTATAAGTTATAAGCATATTTAGTGTAAAATTTATTAATAAAATGACGAGCTAAGGTAACTAATACTTTCTTATCTTTCCATGCAATTCCATATAAAAATTGAAAAAACATTTGCATCATATTGTGAATTAAATAAAAATACTATTACAAGTTCGTAAACAAAATAAGTTAAATTCATTATATATATATATAATTACTTAAATATTCATTTAAATCCATGTATTTAAATTTAAACTTAAATATTTCTAAAATATTGAACATTAAAAATAAATAAATTCTACGTGAGCATTCCAAATAGAGATAAAAACCTGTATGTATTAATTCGATAACATATTCTTGTATATTGAGTTAGATTATCTAACAAATATTTTAAATACTTTGAGATTGAGATTAATATAGTATTTGTATATAAATTATACGGTTATAGAAGTTATATTATATTAATTACTAAGTAATTACAGTAAATATTATTTCTATTCGGTGGAAAAAGTTGTGGCATTATTGATTCACATGTAGTTTAATAACACAAAAAAAATCAAATTGATATTGAATTTTAATATTATACCATACATGTAGCAACAAATATTTTCTTAATAATGATTAAAACTAATATTTTTCCCTAGTAAATCTAAACAATTTTCTCGAAACTTTAGATTTTCTCTAGCATATTATTAATAAATTCATACATTAATTTCAATATCTTTCTTAGTTACAAATTTTAATATATTTTTGCGGTAACGATCTATTTGTTAATAAATATTTATTACATTGTATATTGAGACACATTACTCGATTATATTAAATTGTTAATAAACATTTATATTAGCTAATATAAATAATCATAAACAGTAATTAAAAGGATTCATTATTGTTTTATAGAAAATGTTTCATTTTATAATTTCTAAGAAATATTTGAAAATTGATCCTTTTACTATTACCTGTAAATTCTAAAATGTAAATATAAAAATAAAAACATTAAATTTAAGTTCAATGATTAAGTATTTAGCTACTTTAGACACTAAGTATATTTAATGAAAGTAAGTAAATAATATGTCATTCGAATACTATAAACACGTATTTCAGAAATAAAGATTTAATTAATGTTTTTTGTTCTTACAGATTCGACGTAACATCATAAAACTTAAGAAAACTGAGAAAATGAAGAAAAATTTGTTCTTAACTAAAATGAAAAGAAAAATAGATATTGTTATAGAAGTGATAAATATGCAAAAAGGAAAAAACGTGTGACAATTTTATACGCTGAGATGCTAATAGGAAAAATTGAATGCGCGAAGCAACAATCTTATATATGCAAAAGCTTCATTACAATCCTTAGCAGATATCAAAGATAATTTGCATAAATGGATCTACTAATAAAGTTGGCAAGTGTATATAAAATCCAATATATAGTTGCCTATATAAATGTGAATCAAGTAAAGCCTTCGATACCCTTTCACTCAAGGATAGAAATATAATGTGTTTACTGCTGTATGCTGATATTTGCGTGTGCCTTCTACCACGTGCAAGACTAGGAGATGTTCATAAATTACGTAACGCTATTTTTTAATAGAAAATTTGTCCTCTTTTTCCATATTAAATAACCTAATTAATACTCTATTTTATACTTATGAAAATTTCTATTTAAAAGAAAGAAATTTTAATTTAAAAACATACTCCTTTTTTAAGTAAACATAAACATTGCATTCTCAACCACAATTTCAAAATTTCAAAATAATTAATTTATTAGAATAGCTATTAAATGATATGTATTAATGGAATAAATTATTTACCGCTTTAAAATAGATTGATTTTTTATACGTTGCTATATTCAACTCAACGAATAAAAATTTTTTTAATTTTAATGAAATAAAAATGTATTGAAAATAATTTTTGCGATTTAATAATGTTTATAAATTTCTTGGTTATTTTGATTATAAATGTATAAATTAAGATTTTCATTTAAAAATTAAATTAATGTCACAAAATTCAGTACTTGAATACTACTCATAAGCGATAAGCGCCATTATTAATCATTCAACTTATAAATACCATTTTAATATTTATGAAATTTTGAAATAATTTTTTTTAATTTTAAATCGTAAATATCATTTATATATTATATATTATATATTATATATTATATATTTTTTTTATACTTTTTAGGTATATAATTATTTTGTTTCTGTATTAAATAAGCACATATCTACAAGATATTTGATTAGATCGTACTTATGATTCTAATGAAAAGTTATAGATCCGATAAAATTTTAAATACTCTTTTAATTACCACTACACTCTGTGCTCGCGCACACATTTTGAATGGGTATGCACAATATTTTTATGGTAAAAAATAATGAGAATGCAATGTATATTTATTTAAATATAAAATATAATGAAGTATTCTAAATACGTATTTCATATTTAACAATATTTACAAAATACATATAAATAGTAACTTTCACTTTCAATTGCTCTTCACATAATATGAGATCAGTGAATAATAAAATAATGACAATTCATTTATTATTTAGAAAATAATTTGGTAAAAGTTTATTAAAATATTTTTTACTTCTGCTTTACGTTAAATATAATTGAATAAACTTTTAAAGATTTACTAAACCTATAAATTAAATATTCAAGTTCTAAAATATCAATTATTCTAAAACAAGCTACTCCTCTATTTACCTATTTATTCTATATATTCTGTGATGTATTTTATCACCTATTTCCTTTGTCTTTATACGTTATGTAATTTATTATCAACTTTTTAGAATGAAGAAATGAATGTTAGCGCACAGTCCTAATTATTTTAGGTGTTACATACTCAAGTCATAAAGATTAAGTCACTATATAATATGTGTTTTATATATGTTTTGGATTGTTTAGATAAAAGAAAAATTTAAATATGAAAGGATTTTAGGATTTTATTCATATACATAAATATATAGGTTGAAGGCACAAAAAAAATTTGGATGATTGCAAATATATAGTTAAAAACTTATTTTGACAACTAAGCTTGAAATAAGAGTAAAACTAGATACATAGTTATTAAATTAATAATATTCTAATTTAATCTTTCATTGCAAATATTCGGAAAAGATAATTTACGAAACCATATTATTGTTTAAATATTTAAAATAAATAGAGATTCTATTAAAATAATTTTTTAAAATAAAATCTATACAAATATAATTAAAGAAATACAATAGATTATTTATAAAGTTAAAAAATTATATTTTTTTAATAATATTTTCAAAAAATTTAAATAATTTGAAATTAATAATAATGGAACGTGAACATTTATGAAATTAAATTGGTCTGAATAAGCTGCATTAAATGTTTCAAATAATGTTTATATTAATAATAATATGTTTAGTAAATATAAAGCAGTAATTTAGTATTATTAATGTTATCCTAATTTTTTTTTATAATTTCCACTTCGATTTTTTTTTTTTTTTTTTTTTTTTTTTTTTTTTTTTTTGATAGTTTTCTCTCTTTTTTTTCTTTTCTTTCTTTGATACTTATTATAATTGCTCAAAATTTGGATAAGAATTTATTGTAATTATATAAATGTTTTTTGCCAATTTATTTTAGATTTAATAATATGAATCATTTAATACAAATAAAAACATATTAAAATTAAAAATCATATATTGCAGTATAATTCCTAAAATAAGATAAAAAATTATTATTCTAATATATTGTTATGAATAAATGAAATAAATATAATTGGTACTTATTTTCTTTGAAGCTATAAATGAAATAGAATAAATGCAATCATCCATTTTTACTTACAGCTTCATGCTGAATTTTTCTGATAAAAACAAGACTTCCAAGAAAACGGGATAATAACAACGATAAAGACGTCCATGATTAAAACCTCACGTACATTCTAAGATTTTTATATTCAAAATAAAAGAGAATTGTATGTCCTTTAAAAAACAGTGATGCTGATAATTATGATAATAATGATGATATTAATACGCGCGTAAAATACGAATGCCATATAACGAATAACCAAGTTTTTGTGGTTGTACTTAAGTCATAATCTTATACTTATTAGCTTTTAGGATAGTAGGGCTAATCGGATAAATAGTGCCGATTACTTTTCTAATTATCAATTTTTTTCTGATCGTTATACTAAGGGCCTAAACGAGTAGTAGAAGTATAATGAATACTGGCTTATTGAATTGGAATATTTTAATTTAGAAAATAATTTAAATGTAAAAAGTTAGTAAATGATTTATTCTAATATTAATTATATATTTAAATACAATCGTCATTCTAAAGTAAAATAAAAATTTGTTTTATAATTTATATTTAAGCTTTTGCTTACTACTATATTCATAAAAGATCAATTTATTAATGGCATAAATGTTTTTAAAGACAATACTTGAATGTATCGTGATTAATTATATTTAGATTTAATTCTATTTATATTTAGAAATTTGCCATATTCATTTTAATAAACACTGATTTTGTTGAAAAATTTCAAATATTTTTAACATTAATTTTGAAAATGTAGTTTAATATTTATATTCTTTTTATTACAATTAAGCTTTATAATAATACCATCAATTCTATTACAACACCACTGAAAAATCATACCCAGGATTCTTTTTTGCAATTAATTGCGATATAAATTGTAGTTTATAAAATAATGCCAATATTTATTTTAATTACGATATTTACAACACTCGTATTCACTCGTAAATACAACGATCAGTTTAATTAAGGCTGAACTCATAAGGAGAAAAATGAAAAGACTTCTCTCTTCCTTTCCTTATTTTCATTTCCTATTTTAACTATTCTATACATAATTTTTCATATCGAATCATTAAATATTATAATATATAGTGGATGTTTGGTTTTTGTTCATTGTTATTTTAAATGTGTTAAAAAAGGTAGTATTGACTATTGAAATATCTATTTTAATTAAAAAATGCATTTATACATTGCAGTGATATTTTTAAATATTAATATAAATAATATTAAACAAACTTCATTAAATTGTAATAGCAAAATTGTAAATTGTAATTTTGTATAATATATTGTTATCAAAAAACGCGTATTTATAGGAAGTTTTAACAATTTATCAATCAAGTCTATAAATATATCGAATATTTTAAAAACATATTTAAAATAATATTCTTTCCTACTTTAATTAAAATTATGTATAGTATGTATTTTTTGCCGGATAATCCAATTAAAAACTGAATCGACCTCAAAGTATTTAAAAAAATTTATCTGAAATGTTTAAAATATCATTTATTAAATCTTTTATATTAAATAGTATAAAACAGCTAAACATATTTCTGCTCTGGCAAACATATCTTACTTATTTTATTATTTATATCGTAATGTAATGAATAGCATTTCATGTTTAACAAAAATATTTTTTTACCCATTTACATATTTAACAGTAAAAAAATCCACTATTGTGCTCAAACGTTTAAAATTGAAATTCTTATTTGCTGCTCTGGAAAACTTTGCATAATGCTGAACAATACGTATTCAATGCATACAGTTATAATTTTCTCAAATATCATTCCATTAATTAATAAGACTACGTATATGTTTAACAGTGATGTTATAAGTAACGACAAATAGTCTTGCGCAATACCCGTCATCTTTTCATTTCACTATTTACGGTACTTTTATAAAGTATTTTAACAGAGGCCCGTACTCAAGATTGAGATATCCGTGTAAGAATCGGGTCTTGGTCTCATTTTTTGTGATTACATAGAAACACAATGAAGTTTAATATAGACTAGGTTAGGTTATATTTTTTAATTTGCGTGATGTATTAGCTATCACTTTGAAAGTGCGTCAGGCGAAAACTAACAAAAATTTCTATTATGGTTAATTATATGATTTCGTTCTCTACTTTAATACTCAAAAAATGTGATTATAAAATTGTTCAAACATCATTTCTTTCCTATGTGGTCTATTCTATTTCTTCCAGCATTAAAAAAGTGAATATCTACTTTGATTTGTCACTCCCTTTCTAAAATAGAGTTATGCATTATTTAATAGAATAAATACCTTTTATATAACCTTACATGCTTACAAATAATAAAATTTATATATAATTAAAAATTAAAAATTTTAAGAGTCGTATATTAAAAACTTACGTACAAATGATCGTGCGTGTGTGTGTTTTTTGAAAACAAACATAACAAACTATGCGTATGCTCATATAACAACTGGGTTCTTAACTTTTACTATTTAAATACTATTATAATAATGTTCAATAAAAATCAATATTTATTCTTTATTTTCAAAAAGACAAAATATTTTAATTGTATTTTGAATAAAAATTTGAAAACTTTTAAAAATATCCGTTTATGTATATTTTCCTAACAGTTAAAATATGTAAAATTTTATCTTAATAATAATTATAATTATATATAATACATAATATTTGTAATATATTATAAACTTTCTTTGTAACATATTTGAAATTTATAAAAAAATTTATTCATATTAAAATTCTATAAATAATCAGAAACTATTATCGTAAATTGGAAGCATTGGAGCAACGTAAATTAATTGAATTAAATATATTTAAATTCGTAATAATTTGTTATTTTAATGAGAATATAAAGGTTATACTTGATTTCATATGTGTCAGCTGTTGTATATATGAATACGAAATTAGATTGTAGACTCTTAATATTTATAGTTTTACAATATATGCAACATTAAAAATAAAGATTGATATATTATTTTATTAAAAAAATTTTTTCGAACAACATAAAGACAGTTGTTTGTTTTTTATTTCGATAAAAAATTTGCAAGTACAAATAAAATGTAAGATACAGTAATTAATATACCATCTTACACTAAAATTTTTTTTCTTAATTAGTTTAATTTTTTTATATAATTAAAATGTATTTATGATTAAAATACTGTATTACATCTATATTTATCTTAAATATGAAGGAAAAGAATAGGCTATTTATTTTTATGAGTAATTTTATCTTGAAAAAATGATAAAAAAAAATAAAGAAAAATTTTCAATTAATAGCTTCTCGTCGACGCATTATTATACTTTAAAAAAATGCGATATAAAATAAAAAATATTATATTTTATCAACTTGGCCGTGCCATTGCCTTTTGTTAGAAAAATCGCGACTGAATATTTATTCAGTTTAAAACAACGAGGCTTAGCCTTTATAAACAGCAATCTTCCTCGAGATTTGGAAAAGACAATCTTATAAACGTGGCCTTTCGTGCAATTATTGCTGTTAAAAACTCTATTGTAGCAAAAATTGATGATTTTATACTTTAAAAAAAAAAAAACTAAACAAAGGCAAAAACTAATGCCTAATTTTTAATCGATCGGTGCAAAGTAATCATCAATCGCGAGGACCTTGTGCATAATTGTACTTGTATTATAAGTATATCATTCTAGTAGATTATAAGAACAAAAATGTAGTTTGTATTATTACTACGTATATAATTATATCATACGTATACTACGAGAATGTTTTTTTTTTTTTTAATAAAGAAGACACACGGTCCCCTTTACGATTAACTGAACTCAGCCCGTAATAATCGATCTTAATTATGTCCCAGACGAATATTTCGTGTATTGACGTTCAACAGAAGCTAAATTTTGCCGCTATGACGTATCATCAAACTTGTTTCCGTCGTTATGTTTTGTTTTACTTTTTTATAGCATTGTCGAGAATGTCTCTAATTTAACGTGTCTTTAAATATATGATTTTATGATTTAGACTCGTATATAAGTTTCTTTGTTGTTTTGTTTATATACTTTAGAGACATTTGTGTTTTGATGATTTTACTAACATTGTGTTATTGCGGCGAAATGCTCAGGTGTAAAGGTCGAGGACCGTCTGTGTCTTCGATTACACGTTAATACAATTTAATGATTGTAACAACATCATCTACTTATGTGATTTTTATAAGAAATTGTTTCGTTTTTTATACTTTCTGTAATGCTTATTTAGATTAACTTGTGTACCGTAAAAAGTGTTTCAATAAACAAGAAAAATAATCGACTGTTTTATTAAAATGTATTCACTTCCATTCATATGATTAAGAAAATTTTAAATTATATATTTTTTATACATTTCTCAATTTATATATGATGTGTAATTTCATACTCCGAAAAATTTAATATAATTTAATATTTTGTATAATGTTAATATACATATATATAGTATAATATAAAATAGATTTTACATTATAATATCTTAATTTATGACGAGATATATATTATAATAAAATATTATCTTCAATTTATATTAAAATACAATATTTTAACAAATTAAAGTATGGATGTAGTAAAACTAAATAAATATTGTTGTGCTATGAAAATGATTTCAATACTAAAAAAACATTTAAATAAATACGTAATATAGAATTTTTATTGTAAGCTGCCATAAAAATAGATCTATTCGAGTATTTGTAATAAATTATAATATGATGAAAAGGCCAGGTCATTTCAAAAGAATGTATATGCTTTTCATTTACAAAGTATTTACAATTAAAGTTTTGTATTGCTTTATTTTAGTCAAGTTGCTACGAAAGTAATTAAAAATAACTACAAAACATTGAAATTATTCAAACTGTAGATATCAAATATAATTTACAAAAGGTAACGGTAATTGAATTGTTTTCAACCTAATAAGTGTATTTTTCAACATAATGAATTTGCATAAACCAAATACATTTTTAATTATAATTATATCATATTTTTTCATAAATATTTGTTTAAACTAATGATTTACCTTAATTAATAATATAATTCTAATATTCTAATAAAAATGTATCAAATTCATTCCAAAGCCAAATTATTTAAAATTAGATAAAAATTAATGACGTCATAAATTTAGTACAATTATTAACACAAAATAGCTAAAATACATTGTTGAAATTTGTAAAAGAGAATAGAGCAAATAAATAAAGCTGCATTAAAAATACTCAATACAAACGATAGTTTAATGAAGTAAAACAATTTGTTTCTATTAGCATATAATAGTTAATTTTTCATTAATTATTTGAAAACTGAATAACATACACATATATTTATATACATATTTATAATCTTTAATAAATATAAGTAAATAAAAACAACATTGATTATATATAAACATAATTAGAATTATGTGCATAAATATAACAAAAGGCATAAATTATTAATAGAAAGAAATATTATATTATCTATAGAACTCTGAAAAAATAATCGATTGTAAATAAGCACAGCATAAAGAAAGGAATTATTATCTCGCTGAATGCAAAAAAAAAATATTCGAAGAATATACAATAAAAATTAATGCATTATAAACAAAAATAAAATTTTTTTATTGTAATCTAACTATATTATAACTTATAGGACAAATATTTTTATATTGATTCAATTTAGATATTTTAACGTGAAATAGTTGTAATAAAAAATATTACTAAACATATTTTTATATGTTAAAGATCACATTAGATAAATAAAAAAACTATAAAGTTAATTGTAAGAAATTCTTTAAAAAAATGTATCTAAATATAAATTTGTTTAAATTATTTATAATAAAAATTTTAATCTATTTATGAAGCAACATCAATACAATTAATTTCTATAAATTCTATATTTCTTCTGTAAATTGAAGAAATTAATATATTTATAAAATCTCGACACCATGTTCTAAATGGAAAAAATTAATTTCTTTAAAGATCATAAAAACAGAATTATAAATATTTTTATTTTCACTCGATTGTTATTTCGAATATTCCGATATATAATAATTATATTATATTTTTATGTATATCATATTTAAAGCTAAGAAATATACAATAAAAATTAATTTAATGCTATTTAAAATCTAGAATAATTTTAAAATTTTAAACAAAAAATGTATATGATGCATCATAATCTACAGAATTAATATATAAAAAAAATACTTCTTAAGAAAGAAATAATATAAATAAAACATTCAAAATATATTAAAAATTATTAAAAATTATTAAATCATTAAAAATTTGTTTGTATTATTTCAGTCTATATTAAATTAAAATGATTTAAAAATTATAAATAGCGAATTAGTATTTGAAGACTCATAATTAGAGACGGATGTAAGATAATAAGTCTGATATCATATTTTAAAAAGTCTAAAACACATATATCTTAAAACAAATTTTCTATGAAAATCATATGTAATTTTATTTAATATTAATAGAGTAAACATGATTGAATTTTTACAATAAATTGGGTCGGTGTATAACTATTTTTAAATACTACAGATTTTTTAGCTAATTAAACTGAAATTTAAAAGTTAATGTTTTTTTAAGTACTTAAGTTAATAAAGCCCCCCCCCTCCTCCAAAAAATATTTCGAAAAACTTTTTCTAAAAGAATATTTAATAATATTTAGTAAAGTTCACAATGAATAATCACGAATTATGTGTAAATTTCTATTAATTTAGTATTTAATATATCTGCTTACATAATACAAATGCATTGTTTAATGTTAAAATCTAAATAATGAAATTAGAATTATATAAACAGTTTTTGTATTATAATAATTTCATTAAAACTCATTTAACATTTAAAATAAACACTACTTACACAGCTATTTATATTTTAAAATAAATAAAATATTATGTTATATATTTCATTGTATGATAACAAAAATTCAATAGTATATAGATAACAAAAAAAATTATCGATTATTATTAACGATATAATGAATCGTTAAAATATTATCACGAATACGATATACCTTTAAAAAAATTCTTCGGTTGACGTAACTGTAGCCTCCATAAGCAGTCCAAAGTCAAGTTCAGTAAGACTAGCTACAAAAATAATTAATAAATATAATATTAGCAAACGTTAATTTGCATATATGTATGATAAACGTAATATGGTAAGACTTACCTTTAGCTGTCAGTAAATCAAGGAATGTATCAAGAGGGGAAAGTCGATCGGTTGACGGAAAGGCAGATAATCCTAAATTGATCAAATAAAATATAAAAATTTCCAATTTACTTTAAGATTAAAAAAGCACATTCACATTCACATTCACATTCACATTCACATTCTCATTCACACACACGCACGCACGCACGCGATTATAAAATATTAAAAAATTATGTTACCATTATGATGGTGGCGATGTTGCGAAAGTTTATTACGTGATTGACAAAGTTCGCCAGATAAAATGTTAGCCGCATGTTCTCTAGCTCTCATCATAAAGCTTATCGGATGAAACCACTGATTAAGTAGACGTTTCGCTCGTGTTCTAGGAAGTAGAGATAGCAGTTGTAATTTGCGACAGATATTTTCCTTTGTATCGCTGATATCTTTAAATGACGTTAATAAATTAATTTTTATTACACATTATATTTATTGCATAAATATTTTTTGCATCTTTTTCAGCACATAAGTTAAATGCATAATCAATACATAATTTTCCTACATACGACGTTTCAAATACAGATTTATTATTTTTCAAAATCAATCGCCAACATGCTAATGATTTATAAAATATACATTGTTTAAGCCATTCAGTTTTTAAATATTGAATACACCAAATTTGAATTAAATGATGGAATGAAAAATATTTATGACTAAGATGTTATTAATACTAACCAGCCATAATAATCTTAGCAACGTCAACTTGCAGCTCAAAAACGGAGTGTCGTACATATTGAAGAAACTTAGAATAATGTAAGGTTCGGTATCCTAAATAAGTAAAGAACGACATAAATCCTTGTGGTACAGGAAATGCAATACTTTCCGTTGCATATCGATACCTCTCTAATAATGTAAATAATAACCAGCGTCTTGAATCTTCTAAATTGTCTCTAAAATGTAAATTCCACCTTCAAAAAAATCTCATTTTTTAAATATCATTATAAACTTTGTTTCGCTACAGAAAAAAAATATACCTTCTAATTTAAAAATCATTTTGACTAAATAAGTTTATTCCAAATGATATTTCTATTATTGTTCATTAAAAAATATTGTGATATTATTACGTTGTAAGAGGCGGAATACTTATATCGTAAAGAGCTAAAATTGATATTTCAGAAAAAATATAATTTTTCAAATACCATTAAATACTCAGAAACATAAGCAGCGATCATTATACCATGAACTCAAATTTTTATATTTGTAAAATCATTGTTAAGATCATCGATGTTCTTTATAAAAAATAGCTTTATTGTAATGAATGCAATTAACTATTGAATTGATTTCGATTTCTATGAAAAATTAATTTAAAAATTAGTTTATCAACAATATTAATGAAAATTGTATTGCAAATTAAACGTATAAGTACAATTTTATTCTAATTTTTAATACAAAATATAACTCACACTAAAGAAAAACCACGTTCGAGCTCGAGCCTAGAATCAATGTTTGCCGCTTTACACAGCATTTGACACAAGAGTCTTGAAGTCTCAAACTGCGAGGCTACATGCCTTGTAGACAATAAATGAACATGCAATGGCGTGCAAGAACCCTTAAATCGACCAAGATTATTTTGTGTTCCGTATTTCAATAAATGCACGGAGAGCTCACGCAAATTGACCGAGACTATATGCTCTTGCTTTGAAGCTGTACAACTTTCCATCTCAACGAAGGGAAGTCTATAGTCACCATACTTAAGCCAACTCCCCATCAACTCTCCAAGTGCGGCCGTAGTGACAGCAAAACTATTAAAATAATAAATTTTGATTAGAAAATTTTATTAGAATAAAACTTATTAGAAAATAAATATAGTACTCAATGTACATAGTGTCTGAAATAAAAAGTATATTTTTGTAACAATATATTGTTCATAATTGAAATACATATAACTAGTATTAATACTTTTAATATATAAATATTCATTTGAAACATTTCTCTAAATTCTAATATTCGTTCTAATTTTCGGCTCTAAAACTTTACTTTGTGTGCGCTTGATAGATGACTCAGCCTTACCTCGGGTCAATTTTGTATACATGAGAATTAAAATGATTTATTTCAAAATTATAGGGTAGCTCACCTGAAAATCTGTTTGCTTAAACTCATTCGTTTTAGTAATATATCATTGTATACGAATATATCAATGACTCAAGAAGAGGAACAATATTTAATTTCAATCTCTTATCAAGAGAACGAAATTGAATTTTCATTGATTATTATTATTGGCCCTTAAACAAATTTTTATTTTTTTTTTTAATTCTCAAACTCTTATATTACTTTTATATCATTAACTGCGATTATATGAAAACTTTCTAAGATTATTCTATGTAGAAAATTTTGAAAAATAGTGAAAAAATAATTTATTTAAAAAAATATAAGTGAAATAAAAAAACGCTTCTTCAATTGTAAAAAGTCTTCTTCAATTGTATATTAAAAATATTAGATTATTTTCAAGACAATTATAAAAAAAAATTAAGTGCCATAAAATGCATAATTTTCATAAATTTTTTACATTAAAAATTAAAGATTATAAATATATAATAACTTAATAAATTCAATAAATTCAATTCCAATTCCGATTCAACAGACAATTCGACAGTGCAAAAATAATTGTAAGTTGCACTTTTCTACAGTATTTATATGAAAACTGTCCAAGTTTGATTTACAGAAAACTTGACAGTCAATAATTAACTTTAACAAAAAATTTAATTTTGTTTAAGAAACTCAAGAAAACTTAAAGGTTGTCAACTTTTAGGTTCTGTAGTTTTTAAAATACGATTAATAAAGTAAATATGATATTAAAGTATGTTAAGTTGAAAATGTGCATTGTTCAAAAATATCTTGAATATAAAATATAAAGAAAAAAGTATTAATAGATAATTTTGTCGATGAAAATAGAAATAAATAATATATAATATAATTAATAAAATGTGAAAAAATTATGAATGACATGAGACATTTAATTAATCTCTTAATACGTCAGTAAATAAATAATATGATTAAATAATAAATATTTCACCATATTAATAAACCAATAAGATTTTCTAATAAAAAATTAATTTTTAAGAAATACTGAACATCCAATTTAATTTGTATTAATTTAAAATAGTATACTAGGAATCAGCCTACTTATAATGTAAGATAAATTGAAATTTTGTTTAGAAACAAATTTCACTTAATTCATCATGATCATTTAATAAAAGTCATCAATTTTAATTCATTTGTTATATCGTTGATTAAAATATCTCGTATCATGTATTCTTACGTTTTAAAAATATACTATTATTAAATATCACACACATTATATATGCATATAATTAATTAATCGTATTCAATTGAAAAAAATAATCAAATTTAATATAAAAAAAGTCTTTGATATAAATATAGTATTAAGTAATACAAAAAATTCAATTTAGTTAAAATATTTTTTCTTTAAAAATATTACTCAGAATAAATAATAATCCTTTGTTATAAATTTTTGAAATAAGAATATCTTTAAAGCAATAACAAAAATTTAACACTTTAAAATTTTTAATTAATCAATAAATAATAATAAATGTGTTCATTGGATAAAAAGATTAAAATTATGAATAAATGGAAAAACATTTTCTGTAATAAAAAAATATTTAAATTTACTAAAATTTAATTATATTTAATAATCACATTATTATTCTATATCATGTTTTATTTTTTAATTATCATTTGAATAATCTATGAAATCAATGCATAATAAAATTTTAGATTCCAAAAAAAGCTAAATTATTTTAATTATTTCCTTAGTTTTTTATATTTCTATATTTATATCAAGATTATTAAGATAATAAAAACCAATTACATAACATTTAATATTTTTTATAAATTACCCTCCACTCGGTGACATTGGTGTAGTACATCGAGATAATGCTTCAGGTTGATAACAAGCCAATGAAACTAACAACTTTTCAGCAATGTGACTTGGCTTAAATCGAGGTAATTCATCACTTTTCTTAATAAGCAAATCCCATAATCGTGTCCATAAATCACTTCTATATGGTATAAGTCTTTGCTGTGGGGACAAAAGCATTACCGAAGTATTCCAAAGTTTTTCATGACTAAGCGTCACATTTAAATCATTTATTTTTGCCTCAAAGCCTGCATATTCTTCCATCATGGTAACTGGTACTAATGGCAACAAAGATAATGCATCTGGTGGTAAATTTTTTTGTACCAGTGAATGAGTTCCACTAATTAAGAATTCTTGCATTACTTTGACAATATCTAAAAAACGAGGTTTTTCAGCAATTGCAGATATTAATTCAGCAACTGTCTCCAAATCATTCTTATGACAAAGAAAATAATGGAGGATTCCCAAACGTACTTCTGTTGAAGTTATTTTCTTAAAAACGTTAATTAAAAAACTGGTGGAAATTGATAAATAAACTAGGTCCAGCGTTGGTAAGTCTATTGTAAGAAGACTAGTGTTATTACTGCTTCCATTAATACTAGTATCCGCATTAAAAGAGTATTTGGTTTTCATGTTATTAGAATCACATAAATTATTCTGATTAAATAAAGGGACAAGATAAGATGATTGAGATGGGACATTAGTAAGTGGACCACACAAAATATGACAGCAAGGTTGATGATGAAGTCCAATATCCAATATATGCGTAAAAAAATCTTGTATAAATACAATCATATGATTATCATCGTATAAAGTAAAAGTTGGTCTCATGAGTTTGGCTCGGATCCAAGGTATTCCAGGTACAACACAGTGTATTACACAACTATGATGAAGCAGTGTTATAGAGTAAGCAAAATGAACTGTATTCAAATTACTAATAACTGAATCTAAGACTTGTTGAGGTGGTTGTACTGGTCTATATAGATAATAATGACATATACAAATGATACCTTTATAATCCGAGATAACAATAAGATCTAATGAACAATCATGAATTCTTAATGGTATCACGTCATCCTCATAAGTACCGCAATTTTCAGAATTTGATGATTGAGGTAAATTTAAAGGAATATTTAACTAAAATAAAGATATAATTAATATCATAATATTTTTTAACATTTATAATGAAAATTACTCAATAACTAGATGCCTACCACAGTTTCATGAGGAAGATCATCATGAAATTGTAAACCACTAAGTGTTGGAGAAACAGAAGTTGATTTATGAGAATTTTCAGTACTATCATCAGTGAATAAACTAGTTGATGTCTTTCGATGATGTATATGATATAGTACTTGATTTGTTGCATCCCATTGAGCCCATATAAAAGCTTTAACTAAAGTTTCATGTTTTAATTCTATAATCATATGACTTTCTAAATTTGCATTATATAAAATTGTGTATATTTGAATATCTAAAATACAGTAAAATATTTTATAATTCAGTTCCAAATCTTACATATTAGATTTTCAATTCATTATAACTTACATTCTTGATGCACTAAAACTATAAGTTTATCCAATGTTTGCAAACATTTTTCTTTATACAAAAATTGTAGTCTAACTTGTTTTAATTTATTATTTTCTAGAGTATGTATTTTTGCTACCTCAGTCTTAAACTCAATGATATGAGCTTCATAAAACTCAATATCTAAATTTAAAAGTTCTTCATTAAAAGATTCGTGACTATGAGTTTTTTCTACTTTTTTACAATTCATCGATAAAACAGTTTGATGCTCTTTCAAATGCATATATGATTTCTGCTTTATGACATATCCTAATAATGTATTACATTGATTGATGCTAGCTTGAACAAAATTGAATACTTTTGAAAATCTATATAAAACCTACAATATTAATAAATATTAAATATTTATTTTAGAAAATAAAATTAAAAAATTATGTACCTGTAAATTTTCCTTAACTCGATCATAAAGACCAATTACAGAATAAGAATTGTCACCTCGATCGGATGATACATTTTCTACCCATCCAAGTAATAACGAGCCATTCTTTTCTTGACCAAGCAATTTCCATTGCATTGCTAATAAAAATTAAATTAATTATTGTAATTAAAATGTTTATTAAATAAAAATTTATCGATTTTAAAATATGCTTATTTGTTAAACTAAAATCACATATAATGACTTGCTTTTTTTATCATTTTCAAAAAATTTTAAAAATATATAAATTTATTCACCATTGCTGGCTTGTTCTCCTAGAAGTAAACACAATTTGGCAGCAAGATTTTCCTCCATTCTTTCGTATCTTCGACCAGATACTATATTATGCTCTATGATTGTGAATTGCGATACGATAATAATGTATCGGATGTTTGATGCTATTCCTACTGATTTGCATCAATTTAAGCAACCCAAAAAAATTTAGACTTATGTGTGTGTATTAGCGGGCATTACAAATTGTTTATTAACTGATTAATATTTGCACAGCTGCAAAGAAATTAAAATTATATATTAAAATATAAAATCAAAACATATATGTCCAAATTACTTCTATTAAAATTAAGTTTAAGCAATAAATAAATCTTTAATTTAATATTATAATGACTTTAAAATAAATAATTGTTCGGTCAAAATATTATTATATTAAAATCAAATTATATGTAGCATCTTATCCAATAGACTAGTAAATAAAATTATTATATAAATCATAACTTAATCAACCAACTTCTCCCTTTTCATTTTTAATGCTAGGAATTTAATATCGTATGAATATAGTATGTCACGATAAATGGAAGTATAATTATTTGTTAAATAAGTTTATGTATTTTTCTACTTTCAATGTTGATTTATAAACATTTTTATTTTCCTATTTTTAAAGAATCAATTTTCAATTTTTTATGCTACATATAATGACATTTTTTAAAATCAATTAGAACTTATCGTATTATCGGCTTCTTCTTTCGTTTAATTCTTCTTCTTTCTTTATTATATGGTATTGTGACCGTTTTGCAATATAATAATCTAGTTTAATCGAAAATATGTCATACAATAAAATAAAAATCTAAACTTTAATGTAAAAATTTAAACTTGTTGTGAATTTTGTTCTAACTTTATAAATATAATATGGCTATATAAAGTACAAAATAATATCTAAATCTTACAAAACGTAAAAATATTGTATAAAAATTATAAATATATAAAAATGACTATTCATAATATATATTTTTAAAAAGTCATTAGAAATAAAAAGAAATAAATCCTTAAAATAATATACATAGATAATATACATAAATGTACATAGCAAATATAATTTAACTGAAATTTTAATACATAAATATAAGAGCTTATTATTTATGCTGCTTGAAACAATCAAAATACAATAGTGCTATGTTAAAAAAAAGAATGTTCTGTTTCTTCAAATTATAAAAGAAAAGAATGCGATAGCATTTTATTCATTGTACATCCAAATATTAATAAATTAAAAGAGTACATATATAAAACTAATGCATATATTAGAATATGATTTAAATTTACTTTTAATTAAAAATAATTACTATATCAAAAAATTTTAAATATTGATTAAATTATAAAATTAAAAATATTATAAAAATACTCAAAAAATTTGTATATATTTCCTTTAAGTAATATATTACCTTTTTACTAATACAGAACTCCTACTTCACTAATTGATGCTTATAAACTTATTTCTATTGCACATTGGTACAGAATTTATATTCCTTATTAGTATAACAACAGAAAAAATTAATTATTAGTTAAATTTTAAAACAAAAAGAAATGTGAACTTAACAAGTTTTCATAAAGCAATAAATAAATAAAGAAGTTATTGTGTATCAAAATAGATGCATTTTCTTTCAGTTCTGACAGTCATATTTATAATATATATTTATATTATACATACTAAATGTAATTTTATTTTATAAAACTTATGAATAATATAAAGAAGTTTCGTAATTGTAAAGCATGTCATTATTTGTAATATATTGGCTAATTTGCTATAGTATTTTCATACCAGCATACAATTTTATATTTCGCGCGCATGTTAAAGCTAATGAATTGAACACGTCTTGCTATGAGTGAGGATATAAGCCTTTCAAGGCCATATGATCAGTTAAAATTAAAGCGTATATATTTTGGGTTTTATATTAAAACTATTAAAAATTGTTATAATGAAAAAAAGAATGATTATATCGGATAAAAACAACAAGGAAAAGAAAAGAAGAATCATGTCTAGTAGTTATATATTCGTCTTTTAAATTAAAAATATACAATGATTATATGCTAAAATCTGTGACATACATATTTTTGGCTATTGAGTGCCTCCTGCATTCCCACTAGAGAATGTATATTCGTTTTTGTAGGTACGATCTGCGCATCTGTATTTTTCTCGAGAGCCCTTAAATTATATAATAAATCTTTTACACGATACATTTGTATTAATTCGTATAAACGAGTATTTGTATTTATTAACTGGCCTTAATCAATCCCCTAATTTTATTCTCGTGTCAAGGACGATAAACAAATTACCCTTTTGACTTTATAGCGATAATATTGAGTAAATAGTGAAACGGTGAATATTAAAATTTGAGAAAGTAGTCATTTCAGAATACATTAAAAAATGATAAACAAATAAAATAGATTCAAGTATCATTGATAGAAAGAATAAAAGTATTAAATATTATAATTCAAATAGAATTTGTGTACCTTTGCAGATCTATGTTGAATTATATTACTCTAATAAATATATGTTAATTCTCCGATATTCAATAACTAAACAGTTTCATACATTTTATAATCATGGATACCACGATTATTTTGATTTTTTATTTTAAATATGAAAAGTAGCAATATGAAGCTTTATAATGTACAATAATCTTGATTAATTAACAACTAACAAAGAGAAGCAATTTCTTTTTAACTAATAAATTTTAAACAAGTTTATATATCATCTAATCAACCATTATATTGGGGATGTCGAAGTGGTTTTATTTTATCGTAACATCATTTTATCTCAGTATCGACAAAATAAATAGAGCAATAACAATATATGGTAAGTAATCAATGTTTATCGATATAATTTATGATTTATATTAAAAATATTATGTTTGCTTTGAAATTTTCAATAAAAATTATTCAAATTGCAAATACATTCTATTTGAAAATGGTTTGTAATTAATTTAAAATTAATTTTTATCTTAAATTATTTTTTGTTCATCAGCTAAAAAAGCAGTAGTCTTGGGAAATGTCTTACAGTGATGGTAGTAACAGTGGACGTTCCTCGCATAAAAATAGCAGATCACCAAAGAAGTTGAGCGTAATTAAGTCTGAAAATAGTGATAAAACAGTAACAAGTGTCACTTACGGACATCATCACCATCATCATCATCACCATCATCGTTTTATCGAAGGGCAACAACCATCTGTGCATAAAAGAAACCTCTATATTGTTTCATTTCCATTGATAATTTTATTCAATGCGCTTAGAACTGTTATTTATCAGCTATATGTAATTTTTAAGTATATTTATGCTTCAACATCACGTCTCATGCAGAGAAAACATTCCAATAAAAATACATGCCAACTGGAAATTGTAGTTGATCGGGAGGCTGTATGTAACGAGCATAAAAGTGCAATTGAAGAGATGTCACTTAATACAAGAAGACCACCAGGACCTGGACCAGGAGATCCATTATTGGCAAAACAAAAGCATCATCATCGTAGAGCTTTTGAATATATCAGCAAAGCCTTAAAAATTGATGAGGAAAATGAAGGTAAAAGTAGTCACTTTAACTATACAGAAGTTATATAATGTTTAACTTTATATACATTAATTTTCATTTTTATTTTTTGAATTAATTGACATAATTTTCTTAAATAATTTAACATTTTAAAAGCTATGATAAAAGTGAAAATATCTTAAACAAAGTAGTCGTTTTTTTTTTTTTTGAAGATTTGAAAGATTTTTACAATAAATGATTTATAAGAATTTTATTGTATAATTACAGAACATAAAGAAATGGCTATAGAACTGTACAAAAAAGGAATTTATGAGCTGGAAAAAGGCATAGCAGTAGAATGCAATGCGGGTCGGGGAGAAGTTTGGGAAAGAGCTCAAAGACTTAATGATAAAATGAAGACAAATTTGGCAATGGCCAAAGATAGACTCGATTTTCTTGGTATGTTTATGAATTTCTATTTGCTTGTACTAAAAATAAAAAACATGCAAAAATTACCTGAGAATTTAATTGCAAATTTTCTGTTTTAAAGTTATCAATCATAATTTGAATTACATTTTATAATTAAGTAGATTGTGGAGTAGTATGTACAAATGTATGCATGTTTAAATAATTTTAGATTATCGAAAGTGTGGATCTCAGGAATCACTTTACGTAGTTAATGTTTAGATTATTTTGTTATTATTTTATAAAGCAATGTAATGTGCTTGTAACCTCTTAATCTTTCTTAAAATATTTTTGCTATCCTCTACTCTAACTGATTATATAAATGACACTATATTTTTTATTTATAATTTGACTAAACATAAAAATTAAACATTAAGTTCAGAAATCAGTATTGTATATAATGTTTCATGAAATTCCAAATTATATATTATTTACATTATTTACTTAAACATTATTCTGAGTAGAAATGTCTTAAACTGAATTCAATTAGTAAAAATTAACACGCAATATTTAGAAATAAAATATAAAAATCTGATAATAGTGATTAAAATGCATAATTTTCATTATATTTGGATAAATTGATATAATTCAATATATATGTTGAACTGCCTTATTAATAAATGAAAAAAATTTAATATTTGATATTAGTTACGAAATATAATTAAACATTAATAATTTTAAAAATTATTTTGACCATCACAATTTAAAAATTTTTTTTGGGTTTTTTTAATGCATGGCAGAGATTTGTTTCCATTTATTTTATAGCAAGTGTATGTGAGCTGAAAAATCTGGAAATCACGGACAATGAAAAACAGCCTATTATTTCACAAGAACAATATAACGCTGAACAGCATGATAAAAAGGACAAAACTGTACATAATCGACACAACAATGTACATACTATAATGGCGAACTCGCAGACCATCTCTGATGCAAGTTACAGTCAGAAGTACAAAAATAGTGAACGCACATTGAACATCGTACAGAGTACGTATAAGCAGTCCTCCAAATCTAGTCCACAATATTTACATACTTCTAAGAATAATACTTCAGAAGGTATTGTAAAATTTTTTTTTTCTAACAAAATTGATTTAGATAATTATGCTTTATATATTTAAATTATTTGAACTTTTATACACCAGCTTGTCATTGTTAATTGTTGTATATTATTTTACTTCATTGTTCACATTTTTGGGTAATTTTTGCATTTTTGTTTTTGTAAACATATTTATCTGAATTATTCTATTTATAGATTGATCAACATTTATATAAAATTTGTAAATTTGGTTGTATAAACTTTTCATTATAGTTTTTAAAAAATCAAATTTATATTTAATATTTGATATATTAATGAAATTAATATTTCTTTATACAGTTTTTTTTATATAGTTTTAGCTATTACTTTAAAAGTAATATAAATAAAAGCGTACGTGGCTAAATATTGAGTAAATAAATACATCTTTATATTCTTTTGCAATAAAAATATTATTTGCTTTTTTATTTATAATTAGAAAAATAGAAATTAATGATTGTTATATCCAATGGGATATTTTTATTTTTTACATAAATCATTGGTACTTATAGTAAAAAGAATACTTTCTATTTATATTATAAAATATAAATAGTGTATTTATTAAATAATGAATACTATTATTAAATAAATAATATTTATTATCAAAATAAATAATTTATTATAATATTAATTTTTCCTTTTTATTCTGATTTCTAATTTATAAAAAAGAATAAAAGAAAGTTTATATTCGAAAAATGAGATTCAAATTTAAGGTTTATATTACTATATTTATAAAATTATAAAAAATTCAATTAAAAACTGATATAGAAACATATCTACGGAGTATTCATTTTATCTTATGAAATTAGTATTTATTGACTGTTCTTGTTTCACCATCCACCCACTAATGACGTACCTCTGATATTTTAAACAATTTTATACTTAAAATATCTGATGTTTCCTATATATTTATATTTGATTTTTGTTTTGGTTTAATCAGCATCGGGTAGAAAATTTCCGGTATCGGGAAAGCGGCTATCTGGCGTCGTTGTAAACAAAAGTCAAACTCTACCTCGAAACATGGGGCGCTCGCAACCAATTTTACCTTGCCATCGAACATCTTTAATTAAACCATCGCTAACACCACCTTCAGTGAAAAGACAGCTCTCAATACCAGGAAGCGAATCACCTTTACGCAGACGTCCAACAACACCTGCTAACAGCACAGTTAACTTGGCCAATAGCAATAGAGGAACACCTGTAAAAAAATTACCACAACTAAAGGGTGTGGAACCAAAACTCGCTCAAATTATTCTTGATGAAATACTAGAAGGAAGAACGCCTGTACTATGGGATGATATTGCTGGACAAGAGGTTTGTTTAAGTACATGTTTAATATAAATCATACCAAATAAGAAATTTTCTTTAAAGCAGTTTTGATACCTAAATATGTATATAAATAACATAGATATAACTTGCTTTTCTAAGAAAAATTAATTTATACATAAATTTTTAATTGCTTATAAAATATCTTGTATACTGCCAAAATTTGTTGATATTGTTAAGAGAATTAGCAATAAGAATTAGCAATTTTCAAATATACAAAAAGGCAATATTAAATAATAATTAATAATCATAGTACGAATCTGTACAACTAATTGCTTGACGTCTGAGGAATAATAAAGTTGATCGTCAAGCGAAAACCAATTAAATTGCATTTCTGATGATAAGTAAGCACTTTATGCCAATCAGTAATCCATTGCCTCATTAACCAGGAGACCAAAACAATTAGTTAAAATAGAAATAATCGACTAATAGCAGTTAAAAGAATAATGATAATAATTGATATTTTGACATTAGTTTTTACATTGAATGAATTATTAAACATTTTAATATTTGTAATTTGTTTAAGCTAAATAGTTTTTTTAATACAATTATTTCATATACGTAATCTATATTTATTTTTAGACCGCAAAACAAGCTTTGCAAGAAATGGTAATATTGCCATCTTTACGACCTGAGTTGTTCACCGGTCTACGCACCCCTGCAAGAGGGCTACTTTTATTTGGACCACCGGGAAACGGAAAGACTTTGTTGGCACGCGCAGTCGCTACGCAGTGCAATGCTACATTTTTTTCAATTTCTGCTGCAAGTCTGACCTCTAAATATGTTGGTGAAGGAGAGAAACTTGTAAGAGCCTTATTTTCAATCGCTCGTGAATTGCAGCCGTCCGTCATATTTATTGACGAAGTAGACTCCTTATTAAGCGAACGCAAGGATAACGAGCACGAAGCTTCTAGGTATAATAATTTTATATATAAAATTTCTTTAAAATATTTTATTTTAGGAAACATTAATGTATAAAACTTAATATATAAGTAGTATATAAATTTTCAAAATATTTCGATAACAAAAAACAACAAAAGATTCTTTATAATTATTTTATTTTAAAAAATGACAGTGTAATATATATTTCCAAAATTATTCACTTTCAAATTTTATGTAAAAATTTATTGTTTACATAACTATTATTTTGACATAATACCATGAATTTTTTTTACTTTATATTAAACTTAATATGCATCTGGCCTTGTATAAAACAATTATATTAGTTCTTTTTTAATTTTAGTTTAAAAATTTTAGTTACTTAATTTAGAATTTAAACTAAATATTTGCATTGTTTCATTATTTAAATTTCACGATAAGTTTTCATTTATTGTCATAATGCAAATATGTATTTATTAAAATTTATTGAGCCATCATTGGAAAAGATAAAATCATTGATACATTCCAGTGTATATTTTATTTTTACATCATATTTACCAAAATGTGTTAAAAAATAAACAATAATTTCAACAAATAATTTTTGTTTTAAATATTTCTTGTTGATTAAATTAAAAAGACTGAACAATATAAATTGCATAATTTCTAAATTAGCAATACATTTTTATTATTTTATATTGTAATTCGTAATATATATAGTATTTTTCATTGTAATTAGTAGTTATATTTGAATGGTAGAAAAAATTGATATAAACGGATGATTAACATTATATATTATTGAAATCCGTTAATAATAATATACTTTCTGTTGTATAAGTTTTTTTTTTTTTTTATTAATACAATGTAAAATTTACAGACGATTGAAAACTGAATTTTTAGTTGAGTTTGATGGTCTTCCATGTTGCCCAGAAGAAAGAATATTAGTAATGGCTGCGACTAATCGTCCACAAGAACTGGACGAAGCGGCCTTAAGACGATTTTCTAAACGAGTTTATGTGACACTACCTGATTATCAAACAAGAATTATCCTATTAAAACGATTGTTAGAAAAACACGATGATCCTTTAACAATGGAAGAATTGAATCAAATGTCAATGCTGACAGAAGGTTATTCTGGTAGTGATTTAACCGGTTTAGCGAAAGATGCGGCTCTTGGTCCAATCAGAGGCAAGTTTTATCATAACATGTTTTTTGCATAAACATTTGCATTTATTAAATACATATTTAATTAAATAATCATCTTACGAACAAAAACGTAATTAAAATATTTTTTGTTATATTCAAAATTAGAAAAGTCGTTTGTCGCACTTGTAATATTCATTTGAAGCCAGTATAATTATTTTTAATTTCTTATTATTTCATATAATTTACCAGGTGGGTTATGTGTATTGAAATTAATATGTTTCAATAATATTGCATTGTTTTCAAGTACTATATCATATTAAAAACAAAAATTAAAAAAAATTAAACTACAAATTGTTTATATATATATATATGTGTGTGTGTGTATATATATATTTCAGAACTGAATATGGATCAAGTAAAAGATTTATCTTTGAATTCAGTACGCAACATAACACAAAAAGATTTCCTTGACTCATTAAAAAGAATTCGTAGATCTGTTTCACCAGGAAGTCTAGCTGCTTATGAAAAATGGAGTCTTGAATACGGTGATGTAAGTCATTAATTAAAGTCAGCAAATGATAACGAAAATGGGTTATTTTCTATGTAACAATCGTAATTTTGAAAATATTAAATATTAATCCCATTGTGATAATTTTATTCTTACTGATTAGGATATCAGTATTTAAAAACCAATAACATTGTACTATCATATTTAAAAAATGCAGAGATAGAAAAAAAAACTCAAAAAGTAAAAACTAATAAGAACAAAAATTGATTAAAACAATGTATTTATAAACAAAAAACAAACTATTTTATCAATAAGGCTTTTAAAATAATTGAAATTATAAAACACAAAATTACATACTCAAATGCGATGATAAAATGTATGGACAGGATTGTCGAAAACCTTTCAAATAGAACATATTTTGAAGTTTGTCATTTATTTCATACAATACAAATACCAGTAGAAAATGAAAATTGCAAGGTAATTTCTCTCGTGATTGTAAAGACTGGCTGATCAAATTTGATGTATGATTCAACAAAACAACGAAGCATATGAAATATGTCCTGACAAATGATTGATTGTTATGCGAAAAATAGAGCGATTACTGGCAAGGTGTTTTTTATTGAGTATATTATAAAATACTTATGATAATCAAATGCGATGACGACCAAATATCAGTGCAAGCTTTAAGTGCCACAAATCAATCGCAACTGATATATATTTGTACATCTGACCAGCAGATGTATTTATTATCATTCTCATTCTAATATTAATCTTCAATTATCTATTTAGTATCTTAATCAAAGTTAACTTTCCTTCCATTGAACTATGTAATCAGTAATTGCTTGTTAGATCTTTGAAAACAAAGATTGAATTATTGTAAATTTAAAGTTTTAGTTAAATATTTTGTCTTTACTTTAAAGGATTAAAAAAAAATAATTGAAATTAATATTATGACACTTAATATATATTTTATTTATTAATTAATAGCTGTGCTAATTATAATAATAAATTGTAACTCCATAAAGTTATATTTAAGATGCATTTCAATGTGAGGAAGTGTCATTTTCTTATCAGAATATAATTTCAATATTTTAAATCCTACATTCCGAAGTAAAAACTAGTTAACAAGTATATTATATTATTGTTGTTATTGATTAACTTATTTGTACAATATTAAAGAATTAACTATATTAAAATGTTAATTATAAGTTTTTACCAAACTGTGGTGCATATTTCAAATTGCTAAAAATTTGTCAAGTTAATAGTAAAAATTAAATATTTAAAATAGACATAAATCAATCGAAAAAAATATTTTTTGCCTGTTCTTGCCATTTATATAAGAAATTACCTCTTCATTATCTTAGTTTTAAAAGATGTTACAATACCCAACGTAATTTATAAGCATTGTGATGTTTACTCTGCGCATGTGATAACAAGGTGATAAATGAAAAATTCAATGATAACGCTTTATTTCTTTATAAATTATTAAGTAATCGTCACCATTTAAATTAATGATATTTAAAACTCTCATGCACAATACTTCATGCTGAATTGTTAAGTACGACTTTAAAAATGGAAAAAAGTAAAAAGTAAAACAAAACTCAAGTACAAAATGTGTGGAGATTAATAAGCGTTGTACAATTTAACTTTCAGATAAATAATCGTTTACATTTTTCTACTTTCATTTTAATTGATCAGATTTTTTTATTCCTTGATTTTTGTTTTATTTTATGTTGAAAAACTTTGCATCTATTTTTTTGTTTGAATGTTTCGTAATACATTTCGCTAAGGATGCATACAAAAAATATAAATTTATATTAAAAAAGTGCATAATGTTATTGCTTATATGAATTTTTATATATACTGGGTACAAGAATGAGTAAATTATCATCTCAAGCGCAATTCATATTAATTACTACAAAAATAACACGCACTAATATAATGTATTAAAACGTACTTAATGCTTAGACGCACATGAGTGCTGTCTAGCCTTCAATCACAAAACATTTCTGCCTTGATCTAATTATTTTGCTACTTTTATAAATATAATTCATAGCAAAAATAAGCTGAATAAAAAAAAAAAAAAAAGTTCAAAAAATTGAATAACCAATTAATAAATGATTGATATAAAAGATGTAGAAAATATTCAATCTCTAAATTTTCTTTAAATGTACATTAATATTAAGTTTAGAATAAAATAAAACAGTTATAGCATTATTTGTATTGTATACGCATATATGATATAGTAAAAATTCAAATATTCATTCACATTTTAAATTAAAGCACAAAATAATTATTAATTTTATATACAAGGCAATTGTCAACAGCCAAGTAGAGATGTTTTCGAATGAGTTGGCCAAAAACGCTTATTATTATAGTAATTTATCTAATTTGTAGGATTAATTACATTTTTGAGATTTTAATTCATCGATATTGATGAACCTGAATTAAAAAAGCTTCTAATGAATTGACTTGCTTTCAGTGGGTGTGGGTATGTGTGTGTGTATGTATGCATATATATATATATATATATATATATATATATATGAACAAGTTATATTATTCAATTATTTGATGCATAAGTTGTATATACATAATCACCTTAAAAATTCTTTGTAATAATTTATTTTTTGTACCTGTAATTTAAGTTTTCAATTTACATGTTTATATTTCATTGATGCATCACAGATGAATGCATTATATGAGCACATTTTTTCGTCATTTGGATGACTGTATTTATTATTGAATTTATTTAATTTTATGTATGTAAAATTTTTTATTAAGTACAAATAATCTTGTATATTTGATTTTTTTATTACAAAAAATACGTAGGAAAATGAAAAGGCTTGAGCAATATATATAAACAATAAAAACAAAAGTGTATTTTAAATATTTATTCCTTCTTCTCATTCAAAGGACAATTTGTTTTTATTATAAGATAACATTATCCTAAGCATTGTCGAGGGTCTTACGCCCTACCGTACCTAAATTAATCTTTATATAACATTCTTCACTTCAATCACTTTTCTGATTCATATTTTACTCAATGTTCATTTTTTATAATCAATTATCTCATACAACTGTTTTCACACTCGACATACTTTGCTCTGCATTATATTTCATCAAATTATACAAATTTGTATTTTTTAACTGTACTATTTTTTACACTTGCTTTGTCACCAACTTTTGTTATGATTTTTATAAAGTTGATCTATCATCAGTGGCCTTATTCAAAATTAATTTTTTTTATTTAATAATTTTGTAATCAAATAATTAAAATGATTTGAAAAATAAATTATAAAATTAAATATATAGCATCAAATTGTAAAGCAACCTACAAAACTGTTAATATTGCTAAACATTGATTGTATATATTTCGCGGAAGACGATTCGTTCGAAAACAATTTGTTCTATATAAAATTGTAAACATTTGTTGAATTATTAAAGTTTCTAAAGATTATTTTCTATTAAATACATTAAATAAATTTAGTAAATTATCATCAAAATTTTATTAACAATTTGGAACATTAAACTTTCATAAATATTCAACAAATTACATTAGAATAAACAATGGGCGACCTAATTTCTTATGACAGATTTTTATATTTATAAGATTTTCTATATAAAATAATAATAATAAATAAAAAAAATATAACTGAAATGCTTCTAAGCCACTGGCGATTACAGTTTGCAAAGCAAAGATAAGTTCATAGGCGTAAGGATCATCACCTTAATTATGCACTGGATGAGAGCCCTGCATACGTGTTTAACAGCGTACTTACAAAAAATTCTAGCTACATCACAGGCGCTGTGTCTAGCTATCGTTTTTTTTTATTTATTTTACGCTTATGTATTAATAATTATCATGATTGACTCAACATGAATAATCAAACATTCAAAAGTGACAATATATCCATTCAATAACATGACTGAACTAAGAGAACATAGTATTTGAAAAAGGCATGAAGATTAAGAATAGAAAGGAGGTAGAGAACAAAGAAAGAAGATATTTAAAAATACAACAATCACAGTGGTCATATCATACGCATACATGCTAGTATACGTTACACAACGAATGCAGGGCTCTACAGGAGCCTCGAAGATAGATTTAAATATATACCGTCTTTTTTTTATTTTCACCAACTTTTCTGTTTCAAAACAATGCAAAAGTTTTATCTATCTTCTACAATCCTATCCACTATATATAAGAAAAACAAAAACAATTGTTTTTTTTTTAACTCTTCTTTAATGCATATCTAGGAAAGTGTATTAACTGTATACTAATTCAACAAATCATTCATTTGAGTTTATATGAATGCCTTAACTGTCGAATAATGTACAAGTATTGTTGTTTCTAAACGCGCGTATATGTGTGGGTGCGTGTATATGCGCATATATGAATGTGCGTATGTGTGAGTGTGTAATGGAAATAGACGTATAATAGAAGATGACCGGTATATATCAGTCTATTTTCGAGGAAGTCCTATGTCAAGTGTTGTGTACAGAACTTTCAGCTGTCATTTTTTTGTTGTTGTTTTTTTATTTTTATAAATTTTCTGCCAATCCGTTTCATTGCGTGGGATACTGCGGCGGCATGGTATAAGTTACCATTGGTTGTTGTCCCGGCGGTAAGGGTGCAGCCGGTGCCGGTGGTGCTGTACCTCCCTGTCCAGGTTGCCATGTACCTGCCGCTGGTGCAGGCATCCGCATGCTGTTCATATATTGAGCCTGTTGCTGGCCATAATATTGGCCATAGTACTGGGCAGGCTGAAGGAATTGACCCTGCATTTGTGGATAACCCTGAGGATACCAGTAGCTCATTTGCTGCCCATATCCATATGCATACTGACCTGCTCCTGCTGTAACCTGCAGAGAAATAATATATTACTAATAATACTAAAATAAAAATATAATTATTATTTTATAGATATTATAATTTTTAATTAGTTACCATATACAAGCAAATGTATTTAAATGATTAAATTAATTATATTACTGTTAACTTATATTATACTGTTATTAATAATAGAATGTTAGAAAATTTCAAATAAATGATAAAAAGTCAAATACAATCAAATTAGTTGAAAATAGTATGGATATAGAACAATCAATTTTAAGATCTACATTTTATATAGTTTAGTATGTTAATTACTGATTTAATATTAACTTCACTTATTAAAGTCTGTTAAATTTCTTTTATTAAAAACATTCATATTATTTATAAATAAAATAGACAAATTTTATTTTACCAAGGAGACTATATTAATATGAAATATATTAATACAATATATTTCAATAAAAGTTGGGATTCTAGGATTTATCATAATGCAGTTTATCCATAAAAATTTTAATCTATTAAATATTGTTTAGATTTATATATTATTTTTCTCGTTTATATAATGAGCCTTAAATACAAAGATATAAATTCTTATATAGCCACAAAAATGCTGCTTGTATTTTATTATTAAAATAAAATATTACAATTATACTATTTTCAATTTTTATTTAATTAGAAATAGAAAAGTTGTTCAACACTAACCTGCTGAGCCTGTTGATTTGCATTGGGTCCTACACTATTTGGATCACCATTTTCCTTTCCCCAAAAACATTTAACAATGCTACCATTTATTTCTGTATTATGCGTTCTCTCTATAGCATGTGTTGCAGACTCCTTTGTAGTAAATTTAATAAAAGCATAACCCTTATCCTTAAATATTCTAGTTTCAGATATAGAACCGAAAGGTGCAAATGTCTTAAATATCAATTCTTCTGTAATCCCATTTGTAAACCCTCCACAATAGACGGTACAATTGGTTGGACTGCTTTGGTTATAAACCTAATATTAGGAACACCAAAAAAATGTTCAATTATGAATCATAAAAAAATTTTAAATATATAATCATATAGTTACAATAATACAAGCTAAATTTCCAAATGATGAAAATAAATATAAATTATACTTATTTTTTATACATGAAAGTGATTTTAATATCACTCTTACGAAAATGAATACCATATTAATAACCAAAGACAATTCACTTTAATAAAGTTATAGTTTTATCATATATCTAAATATACCTATAAGACGAATAATAGTTTGTATTTATTAAGAAGATGAAGTATTTTTTAAATATTATTTAACATTACCACTTATATAAAAAAATTTAAATACTAATAATTGACAATAAAGAAAAGTTTCAAAAAAATTAAGAAAAAAAGGAAATAGCATTCATTATTGAATTTTATGTTTTTTAATTGAATTAGAGAATATGAAATAAAATTAATTATTTATGTAATATTAAAAATGTTTAAATTGACTATTATTAATTATCGTTATTAAATTTTATATGAAACAAATTATTACAGATAATAAATTACTAATACAAACTTAAGTATTTAGACATACTGAAGGATACATGAAATTTTGTAATAATTCATACAAATAAATTCTTATAAAAAAAAATTAAAAATACAATTTAAAAATGCATTGTTGGAGATAAAAAAAAATAGAAAAAGTTACATAATGAGATATTTATGAGTTTTTGTTCTTTTTCATATTGTTAATATAGCAAAACTTCAAGTAAATATAAATTTCTTTTTGAGAGTTCGTTTGTTTGATATAAAAAAGAATTAATAATTCAATTACTCCTTGTTAAAGTAAAAAAATATTAAAAACAATAAGCTAAAATATATTTAATTATACAGATGCATTATTAAAAAATATATATGTTTCATCGTAAAAGGAAACACATTCAATTTAAGGATTTCAAATATTCCTTTTATAAATCGAACAAATAAAACTCAAAATTTGAGATCAAACAGGTGGTTTTATATGAAGTTTTTACATATGTTTGAACTAGTTTTAAAAGCACCTGTTCCTTGAAATCAGACACTGTATGGTATTCTGATTCCAGAAGAAATATATTCAGAAATAATCAGAATTTCGACAGCATCCAATTTCAAATATATAATAATACTCTTAAAACCATGAAATGTATAGTAATTTCCATGGATTCAAAAATTAATGTTCAATCTGAAACAGGAGATATGTCAACATGAATATTTTGTGAGCTTTAACCCAAACAAACCCATCGTACAAGAGGACTGTTTGCGAAGGGAAGCAGTCGATGCCCATAATCGCCAGACTCTCTCTCGTCATCAGCCAACGTACCTCCTCGTAGTTGGGTTTGCTGTTGGCTGCGTGCCTAGGCCTCTCAGACCTTGGTGGCGGCGGCTTCCTTGTCGACCAGTTTGTCCTGATGCTGCGCGAGCCTAGCCACTGACCATTCATTGCAGCTATTGCCGCCTCGGCGTCGCTCTTCTTCACGAACGATACGAAAGCATAACCTTTGCTCTTAAGCGTCTGAGGATCGCGAACAATTCTGCAATTGCTGATCTCCCCGAAGGGTGTAAAGGCCTCACGCAGCGTCTGTGTCTCAATCTCAGGCGACAGATCACCGACGAATATATGATGATGATTGCTGGTGTCAAGCTTGGGTTGATTACCCGGACTCGTGGCCCAGTTAACCTTCATTTCCTTTTGAAGAAAGACGCGCTTATTCATGGCGGCGAGGGCCGTAGCCGCACACTGGTGATTCGTGAACTCTACGAAAGCATAAGGATCGTTGCCAGCTTCGCGAATTATCTTGCAACCTTTGACATGGCCGATCTGGGTGAAGAGGGCACATAGCAAATCCTCAGATACGGATACGTCGAGATTGCCCACGTACAACGTACGCGGGTTACTCTCCTCGCTCATGCTCATGGCACTGAACGTTAGCTGCTGCTGCTGTTGCTGTTGCCGCTGCTGCTGTTGCCGCTACTGCTGTTGCTGCTGCTGCTGTTGCTGCTGCCGTTGCTGCTGCTGCTGCTGTCGCTGCTGCTGCTGCTGCTGTCGCTGTTATTTCTTTCAACCTTGACTGCGGCACAACAGCACCTACACTCTCGCTCGCAACGCGCGCTTACCTCGACGTCGTGAGAGCGCCCCTAGCTCCTGCGACTGTTCCTTCCGGGAGAAAGAGGAAAAACGCGTAAACTCGCTATCTCCGTTACTCTTTTTATCTTTCTCTTTTTGTCTCCTTACGCGCTCTCCTTTTGCTGCGACTGGCCGGCAAGCGAGACAGGCGGCAGCGGCCACCTTTTTATTCTCTCTTTCTCTCTCACGTTCTGTTACACGCTCGTACTCGCTCTCTCGTCCCCCTCGCTCACACACACACACACTTTCTCTCTCTCTCTCTCTCTCTCTCTCTCTTTCTCTGTCTCAAAGACCGCGTTGACGTGTGCCCGCGCAGCAGCAACTTCTGTCTCTTTTTTCTGGAAAATTTTAAAGCTAGACAATTCACACTTTTAACCGCCGTCTCGAGAGATCGGCATCGAGGCAAACGGAAGACTTCTCTCGCGATACTCGCTTTTTTCGATTCTTAATTTTATCTAGAATTCTCTCTCTCTTTATCTTTCTTGTTATTCAAGCTGTTATATCGTACAATACTTCGTCTCCCTCTATTGGGCTAGATGCGTGTGTGCGCGCGCGCGCATATGTACATTAACGTCGCCAACGCGGGCGGTTGAAGTTGAAAACGTGATGCTGCTCCACTACACCCAGAACACTTAGCACTCCGAAGCAATCGTCAGCAGTGTCAGCACTTAGCTAGCCTATCACCTATGTGATGCTAATACATAAGATGGCCGACCCTTTGCGCTTGCGGTCACTCACGTATGCATATGACATGAACAGAATTAAGCGAAATGCGAGCTTCGCTAGCAATATTTTACGAATTATGTATATAATAAATAATTACTTATAAGTATTTGCAAAGTTATTTTTATTTTTATCTGCATGCATTTTGTCAATAAATATAGGAAATATTTACCAAACGGCTACTAAGAATTTACTGTGCAAGCACGATGTAATGCCATGCATAAAAAATCGTGAACAGCCGGCAACTTTATATTTTCAAATACTAATTCGTCACATATGTCGATTTTATTCCTATCTCGAAAACGGATATATTTAATTACACAAGCTTAGTTAATTTCCTTTCTCTTTCTTACTTTTTTGTGTATAATATGAAAAAGCTCATGTGAATTAGGGATCTCAATTATAGCAAATAATACATTTATTTATTCATTTTTATTTTTTTATTATCTTTATTGTTATTTATATAACAAGCCAAATAAAATAAAAAGAACATTAATAATAATTTAAAACAAATATGTAAAACATTTTTTACGTTTTTTTTTTTTTTTTTTTTTTTTTTTTATTTTTTTTTTTTTATATTTCTTAATTAGTTATATTAATAACAAGTTATAATCGGCTTTCTAAATTGTAATAAATGATTTACTTGATTTTTTTTAATATTTTGTGTTATTTTTTAATCGTCCCTTTGTTTTTTTTAATTTACGTAATTTAATTTTTTTTACTAGCTATATTACGTGTTATACACTATATATTACTATTAACATTATTAGATAAAGTCAGATGCATAAAACAAGGTAAGACACTAGCGCGAAAAAGCCGGCGATCCGTTCAACGAATCATAGAGATGGATTTTATAACTGCCATAAGGTTTCGATTTTATAATATTATTTGATTTTTTAGTCTCTTCATCATGTAAATTATTATTTATTCCTTATATGATACGAATGGAACCTCTGATATTTGTATTCCATTGAACTAAATTAATTGTAACAAACAATCGGGTTAAAGAATTATACCTTTAATATAAAATATTTTATAATATAATTTTTTATATTACTAATTAAGCATTATAGGTATAATGATGATAAAAAAATATCTCTAATAAAAAAAAATTTTATTTAGAAAACAAAAAATAAATTTTTAAAAGTTATCTTGAACTATACATATTTTTTAATATTTAATAATTATTATGGGTGTGGCGTGTACCCACTATGCACGTATATGAAATTAAATGGAAATGAGGATATTTTATTTCAAAAATATATTTTAAAATTATCTAAAAAAAATTTTAATTTATTATATTTTGGATAATTATAATTTAAAAAATTACTCTCTTACTATAAATATGTATCATAGTAATATTAGTTGAAAATTCATAATTTCATCATATTTTGCACAATAATGCACAAAGTTAATAATCAATACAAAAGAATAATAAAAATAATTTTATTTCCCGCATTCTCACAATGTCAGTGCATCATATTATTTATGATATACTTTAATAACACATAATTTCTTACATATTCTATGAAAATTAATATTAGCTTTCTTTACTGTAAGGATTACAAAACTTTCAATTTAATATCAGATAGTCGTGCTTAAACAGAATCGATTATAATGGAACGTTGGTTGTTTTTGTCAATTTACGTCATTTATTCCAATAAATGAATATACTCCACAGAAGTAGTCGGTACTTTTCATTCTGCAGTTGCTTTTGAACTTAATAAAGGAAACATGGGACAAATACCTCTTTTCATATAAACTTTTGTTATACATAAGTAATTTTTTATTGAATTACCATCATGTAGTAAATAATAAACTCTATAGGCATTAGTGTGTCTATTGCCAATTTTTTTATAAACCGTTATCTCATCATAATCTAATATTACGTTCGAATGATACGATTGAGGTTAAACTAGTATACTTAGTTTCGTTTGTAAATACATTTAGAACTACAAGTCAAAACTTCGCGTTGTATAGAGGCTCTTTTAAAATGAGCGTTTAACAATTAGTTCGCAAAATGTCACAAGTTGAATCAAACCAAGATCGGCAAAATAATGAATTCGAAGTTTTAAAAGTAAGATTAATACATATAACATTATGCAAACGTAAAATATCATCAGGTATATTTAAAATTTTTTTTCTTTGTACATAAATATAGTCCATTTTTGGAGATGAACTACATGATAATCGTAAAAATAAACAAAAGAAAAAATGGCAACCGTTGGATATATCTGTTACACTCACACCGCAAAAAGGAATGTCAGGGCCAGCAGAAGTTTATGTTCAAGTTGATTTACATGTTATTTGTGGAGATAAATATCCTAAAGAGTAAGTTTGTTAAAATAAAAACATTATATTAATAGAAATAAAACATATTTATTAATATACTGTATTGTATATGAGGTAATATTTAAATATATTGAAATAAATTCAAATATTACTTTATTTATGTTCTTTTTACGGTAGTATTTTATCTAATCATTTTTAAATCAAATTTTGTTATTTAAATTATTTAAAATTTAATTAATATTTACTATTTATTATAAATTTTTCTTTGTATTACTAGATTAAATTGGAAGAAACTTTTATATATTATTCATTTTTATTTTAATGTAGTGCAAATATTAATTATATAAATATCAATATTTAAATATTTTTTAGAGTTCCCAAAATTCAATTACAAAATAGTAGAGGTTTATCTCATCAACAAATAGCAATTCATCTCTCTGAATTAGAAAATTTGGCAAAACAGCTAAAAGGTGAAGTTATGGTTTTCGAACTTTGTCAGCATGTACAAAAATTTCTTCATGAACATAATAAACCAGGATACAGCAGTTTTTATGAAGAAATGGTATTAAAACGTCAAGAACGAATCCAAAGTGAATTGCATGAAAAACAGTTAAAAGAAGATAAAGAACGACAAGTTTTACAAGATGAAATTTTAAAACGAAAAGAAGCACTTAAAGCAGAAATGCGTAATCGCCGCGAATCAGCACGTTTATCGCTCGAATCCGACCCTATTTTATCACAATCGATACCATCTTCTCCACATGAACGAATCAGAACTTATTCTAGAAGAAGATGTATGAGTACATCTGAGAGTTCTGAAGGATCATTGTGTGAGCATAGAGGGACAAAGCTTTTACATTTTGATAATAACAAAGGCGAACGACAAATACATAGAGGAAAATGTTTAGGTCACAGTGTAAAGGGATCCGTAGTGTATGCCGGCGTTGATATGATAACAGGAGAATTATTGGCTGTTACAGAGTGGACATTAAAATGTGGTATATCTGAAGATCATGAAAATCATGAAACATCAAACTTACAACACTCTATGAAACAAATTGCTAGCATTGAACAAGAACTAAATCATTTACATAGATTACACCATCCCAATCTTGTACATTATTTAAATATGAAATACTTGCAAGATAAAGATAATATAATAATTTATACTTTGCAAGAATTTGTGGTAATTATATTTTTTTACTTGAAGAATATTTTATTTTAATTAATAATCAATTAAAATATTAAGTCATACATTATGAATTAAAAAAAAAAGATTTTATAGTCTTTCAGATACTTAATTTTAAATAAAATACAAACAGATATTGAAATGATTTCCCACCTTGTCCATTTCCAAAGATTCTCCAAACTATTTTTGCATTTGCCCAGGAAAAATATTTCTTATCAAGCAAAAAAATTTAAGTGTAAATTATGATATACAAGTATTCAAATCGTTCTTTTCTACATTTAAAATTTTTTTTATTTTTCAATAGCTAATTTTCCATTCATACAAATACTTATTAGCTTATAATAATATTTATTTATAGATTATATATATTTACATACATTAAATATGTGCATCTGCAATTGTTAAATTATATATCTAATTTAATTAAATAGTTATATCTAAAATAATTTAGATAAAAAAAATATTACAAATATATTTTTATAGGTTGGAACAACGTGTTCATTTTTCCTCATGGAAAACATTCCAGTTGATACAGATATGCTTAGGTACTTAGCTATGGGAATTTTATCTGCCCTTCAATATCTCCACAAAAATAATGTTGTTCATAAAAATCTTAGAGATTCAAGCATTCATATTGATCGCACTGGTGTTGTCAAGCTGTCTGATTTTTCTCTAGATAAAAGACTATCAGATATTTATCAAGCAAGCTGCTTAGCTAAAATAGAGCATGACTTTCCTACAATTCAAGGAAGAGGAGGGAAAAAAGCTGATATTTATAGATTTGGTATTCTTTTACTTTCCTTATTGAGAGGTACAATTATTTCAGATAAAGATATAAAAGTTGATTCAACATTACAGGTAATCATAATATACGCTAAAAAATTTAATTTATTTTTATAAGTCCTGTTTTTATTTCATTGTTAAAATAATTTGATTTGAAATAAATAAGTATAATTGAAATAAGTATCATTACAAATTCATAGGACTCTACGTTTAAAAGCAAATTACTTTAATTTAATAAATTTTTATATTAATTGCAATCTTCACATTTTAAAAATTAAATATACCTACATTTATACTTTATTATATTATTTATTATTAAAATAAATGATCAATAATTATATAGTCATAAATTAAAATTTTTTAATAATTATGTCAAATTAAATTTTGTTATTCCTCAATACATACCAAAATATTTGTGATTAAATCATATATTTATATCTTTCTACTAATTGATTCTATTAATATTAATTAATTTAATTTATACGCAAGGAATAAATTTGAAACAATAATAATTACAATATATAATGATATTAATATTACTGTTTAATGTTCAATTCTGTTTCATTTGTAATATTTGCAATTCATTTTGTTAAAAACTATTATTATTTATAGATGTTTAAATTACAATAATGAGCGATATATTATTTTTAGCCAGATTTAAGAGATTTTATAAACAAATGTCTTGTGAGTGATGAACGAACTCGTTGGTCTGCAGAACAATTATTACAACACTGCTTTATTCGGGCACCACTTGAACGTGGATTATCACCTCCAAGACTAGATGGTAATCAAGAACAAAATCGAGTCGAGCCAGAACAAGAACCAGATGCTGATATGCATTTTTATCTCCCTGCCTTTGGTGGACAATCACGAATTCAAAATGAATTCGAAGTACTTAAATGGCTGGGTAAGGGAGCTTATGGAGATGTTTTAAAAGTCCGAAATAAATTAGATGGAGGTATATATGCTATAAAACGAATTGAATTAAATCCCAAAAACAAACAGTTAAATAGAAAAATAACGCGCGAGGTAAAATTGCTGTCTCGATTAAATCACGAAAATGTCGTACGGTATTATAATTCCTGGATCGAGAGTGCAACCCTTGATGATTCCACAAGACATAGTAGATTTACACCATCTATTACACCTTCAATCAAATTTACGTCAACGTCAAATAAAACATCGAGCGTTGACGATGTAAGTTTATTTGCATAAAATTAATTTTTTTTTCTATATGTTATTAATTTCTTTAATAATTTATATTGTTATTTGATATTATCATTATTATTTATTTTTTAATTGTACAGTATTTGGGGAATGCAAACATTGAAAAATTAGCTCCACCGATGCATGATGTTGAGTGGAATGTTTCTTATGAATCCAGAACAAGTGCTGCATTATCAGCAGATAGTGAAGAGGATAACAGTGACCACTCTAGTGATGTATCGGATAGTGACGAAGACTGGGCTTTCATGTAAGTTTTCTAAAATAATTTTACTTGTTAGGGGATAATTTTATTTTATTTTATCTAAAATTTTAATTATTATATTAGATTTATTATAATATAACATTTTATTCTAATTAATATAAGTAATGAATTTAATTTAAACAAATTTTAAAATGATCAACTAATCATAAATACTTTATTTATTCAAACATATATTTTTAAAATTTTAAAATTAATATATAATCAAATCAGCATGAGAACTAGAATTGACTCTTCTGATAGTATAGAATTTGAAAAGGATGAAATGTCACAATCATTAGATTCCGTACAAAACTCTCAAGATTTAGTTGTTGAAAAAAATAAAAGTGAAATTGAAAAAGACGGTATATTAGTGAAAGAGATTCAATTTATGTATATACAAATGGAATTTTGTGAAAAAAGTACATTAAGAACGGCAATTGATAACGGACTGTATGAAGATGAAGAACGAATTTGGCGTTTGTTTAGAGAAATCGTTGAAGGTTTAGCACATATACACCAACAAGGAATGATACATAGAGATTTAAAGCCAGTAAATATATTTTTAGATAGCAATGATCATGTAAAAATTGGAGATTTCGGTCTAGCAACAACAAATATTTTTTCAACTCTAACACAAACCATAGAAGTTGAAAAAGAATGTCAAATAACTGATAAAAGTATTCTAATATCCAAAACAATTAATTTAAAATTAATACTAAAATAAATAACAATAAAGGTTTTATTATGATTTTATAGGCGTTAGTTTTGACATGGACGATTTGGGTTCAATGACTGGTCAAGTTGGCACAGCCTTGTATGTAGCACCAGAATTGTCTGCACAAGCTGCAAAAGCTATATATAATCAAAAAGTAGATATTTACAGTTTAGGAATAATTTTTTTTGAAATGTGTTATAAGCCATACATAACTGGAATGGAAAGAGAGAAAGTCTTTTTAAATCTTCGATCTACAGAAATTATTTTAATTAAATGAAAGGGGTATGTCTAGTCAAATTCACCTTTTACGGTAATCCCAAATTTTTTTTTTTAATTAAAAATACATGTATTCAAATTATATAAAATTTTTACTATATGGATTTTCTCAACAGCTGGTTATTAAATCACGATCCAAGTCAGCGACCAACATCGCAAGAGTTGTTGGCTTCTGATTATTTACCTCCTCCCCAACTAGAAGAGGCAGAACTTCAAGAAATGGTTCGTCATACACTGTCTAATGTTCAGAGTAAAGCTTATAAATATCTCGTTGCTTCTTGTTTTTCACAAGAGGTAACGCCTGCAGAGGATATAACATATGATATGAATTTACCAGCTCGAGTAACAACGAATTCTGTATTACCGAAAACACGCTTTTTTCAAGAAAATATTAAATCAAAAGTTGTAGAAGTCTTTCAAAAACATGGAGGTATAAATGTTACAACTCCACTACTTATGCCTAAATCAGGTCCACTTTATAATGTAACTGATAGTTGCGTTCGACTAATGACACGTACCGGGAGTGTAGTGTCTATACCACACGATTTGCGCGCACCGTTTGCTAGATACGTTGCATGGAATAATATTTCTAATATACGAAGATATTCGATTGAGAGAGTTTATAGAGAGAAAAAGGTAATAGAAAAAGAGAAAATTTTATTAATGATATTTGTTTGTTATTTGTATATAAATGTATAATTAAAATATTAAACTGTAATATCAAAACATTTTAAATTTTGCAAAATATGAATAATTTCATGTTTAAATTTTTAATAAATAGAAATAAGAACATTTTTTTAAATGATATAAGCATTTAATTCTCAAAATTGCCATAAAAAATATTTGTTTATCATAAAATAAAATTTAAATAAAAATAATTTATATTCATAATAATTCAACCAGTAAGAAATTTGTTTAATTCTGTAAGTTTGTTGTTCATGAATATGTTATCACGAAGTAGACATTGAATATAATTTATTATTAAAAATACTTGTTAAAATAATAATGACTTTAAAATTAAATTTTAGAATGAACCTTGAAACATTTAAAATAAAATAAATTCTTATAATTACATAATTATACTTCTGTAGTTATTATTGTATAATAATGTATTTATTAGTTGAAGTTGTTAACTTATTTTTAGCAAATTATATGAAATCAAATTAAATAGATTCATGAATGATATATGATGATTTCGTATATTTTATACATGACGTCTTTAAATATTTCATATAAATTAAAATTGTATGTGTCTATGGATTTGGCCCTTTCGATTACATTTGAAAAAATTAGACATTAAATATAGTTTGATCTTCGTACATAAATAAAAGCTATATAAAAGACTAATTATTTTAATATAATAATTTACTTACCAATAATAATCGAAATATACAATATGTAGTAAATTTTATTAAATATTCTTTGAGAAAAACATAAATGTAGAATTAGAATTTAAAAACTTATACAATATATATATATATATATATATATATATATATATATATATATATATATATATATAATATCATAATATGATTTAATATTTTGTCAAAGTTTCTTAATTTAATCATAGTATATAATAATAACTTGTATTTACTTTTTTCTTTAGACATATTATATAACTATGTTTAAGTAAATGTGAAACAGCTCGAGAAGACATAGTAATTTTTATATTCATAATACCAATTATTGCATAGTAAGGCAATTCAGCTATCTTTAAAAAAAATTCATAATTACGTATGTGAAATAACGTATTAATTTTAAATAATCTTTTGAATAATTCTTTAGGTTCATGGTTTTCATCCGCGAGAGCTCTACGAGTGCGCGTTTGATATAATAAGTCCAATGGGTAACAATTTGATGACCGAAGCAGAACTTATATCCATTGCTTGGGAAATTTGTAACGAAATACCTCAACTACAGGAGCGTAACTTTACTGTTCGTATAAATCATACATCGCTATTACAAGCCGTTCTCATGTACTGCGGGATAGAGCGTGAAAAGTATCAAGATATTTACTCAATATTGTGCGATGCTCGTGATGGTAAATTCTCTCGATTCCAAGTGCAAACTCATCTGATAAGTTTGTGCCTTACTGATCAAGCTATGGAAACTCTTTTTAATCTATTTGAGACTGAAAGTTCAGTTACAAAAATCGCGAGCGTACTCAAGACAATTACTAGAAGAAAAGGAGATGCAGCTGCCCTTGCGAAAGAAGGTCTTAGAGAAATCGAAACTGTTATAGCTAATGCAGAAGCTTTGGGTGTTAAGGTAATTAAAGTGATTCTCTATTTAAAATTCAAACGTAGCTATAAAACGAGCTATAAACAAATTTATAAAAAAATATAACTAAACTCTTAAATTTCAATACACATTATACATATACAAATTTATTATTTCATTCAAACTCTTTACACATCTCATTGGATTTTTTTTTTCAGTGGCCAATTACAGTACTTCCATTATTAGTACATAATATTCAACAATACAGTGGTATAATTTATCAAGTTACATGCGAAATAAAACGAAGGCGTAGGCGTAACGGTCAAGATGTTATTGCAGCAGGCGGAAGGTATAATACAAATTTTGGTACCATTTTTTATTATTTTATTTATGTTTTTTAATCGACATAAAGAACTTGTTACATTTTTTAAAATTTATATTAGTTCATAATTTATAAAAGTAGCATATAAAATTAAATTCATCAATAATGATCGATTTTTAAAACACTAAAAGTATTTTATAATATTTATAATAAATCTATATTGTAAAAGAAGTCTAAAACTATTCATGTTATATAGATTCAAATTAATATTAAAATTAATTAAATATATTAAATTTAATTATAATTAAATTATATAATAAATATAATCAATATAATAAATAAAATAAAAATAATTTAAAAATTATTAAAATTCCAATTAATATTCAAATTAATATTAAAAGTTATAAACATTAAAATATTTGAATTGACTAGGTACGATAAGATGCTCGCCTCATTCCGGCAAATATTAGAGCGTACGGGTATGACCAATAAAGAAAGCAAACAATTTGGTGTGGGCATTAGCATATCCCTAGACAAACTACTTTGTGCTGCAGGTGAATTAATGACGGATCTGTGTTACGAAAACAAATTTGCTATTGACGTAGCTGTCTGCTGTGTAGATGGAGTTCCTCGACGTGAAAAAGAACTTGCCGACGTTCTTCGTGAGCTTTGGACACTCGGGCTTAAAGTTACCTGCTTAGATTTTTTTACATCCGAAGAAATTTTAGAATACTGCCAGGAAAATGGTGTTAATCATATTGTTATGTTGAAGAGCGGCGAAAAGGGCAGTTTGAGGATCGAAACATGGGAAAGAGATAGATATCAAGAACGGAAAATTAGCGTTCAAGTAAGATTATACCTATTTTTATTATTGTTACAAATTAATTAATTAATTTTTCATTAAACATTACTTATTCGTTTACAATAATATCGTTATTTTCATATTTCTTATTGATAAGAATAAACAATTACAAAATTGAAAACATGTTTTGTATAATAAATTCATTTAAATATTTAGTGCTTGAGTAAAGTTTGTTATTTTACTGTACATTTTTATTAACAGATTGTATATTTTTTTTAAAAAATGATGAAAATACTATTTTTAGGATATAGCTGAGCATTTTCAACGACAGACGGAAAGTGTGGTGCCGATAACCTTGAATAGATCAGAAAATAAATTAAGCACTAATACAGACGTGATGGTTTCATCAAATACTCCTATTAATGTTAATATCAACTTCGTACTTTCAAGTAGGGATAAAATGTCTGGAAGTGGCAGAAGAAGTTATAAAAACACCATTCTTGCACAAATGTCTTCTTATATGCAAAGAATATCACACAAGGTTCCTATCGAAGTATTTGCAGTTTTTCTTGAAATGACCGTGGTACGAACCATTACTAATTTTTTGGAAATCGATGAGGACGAACAAAACTTACAAAAAAGCATTCAAATAATAATCGACAAGTATGTATTATTTCGATAAATATTAATAAACTGCAAGTTACTGTTGAAAGTTAAATTTTAAAAATAAAACATAGTTTAATAATAAAATAATATAAGACGAAGAGGAAAAGATACTTAAGAAATAATGTGATATTTAAATTCAGTGTCACTTGTTGTCAGTATTGTTACAATAACTTTTTTTTATCTTACAGGCATCCACGTCATAAAAAGTACACTAAGCAGATTTGTGAGGAAATGTGGGAAGTTCGAAATGATAAATCACGTCCTGTTTTGATTCTTTATAGTCTGTCAGATAGTCGATACATGACACTGATGTAAAAAAGAATTAACAAATGTACAAAATATTGATAAAAATATATACATTTATTTTTACGATGACAAATGTTATTTAATATAATTATAATCGTTTACTTTATAATTTATTTAACCTGTTATTACAGATTTTTCTAATTAAGTTTTTAAACTTATAAAATTAAATGAGTTAATGGGTACAATTAATATAATAAAGTAATGATTTATTAATTTATTGAATTTAATATAATATTTATAATAGAAAAACTAGCCTATCATAAATTAATTTTTTTTTTTTTTTTTTTTTTTTTTTTTTATAAAATTTTTTTTTTTTTTTTTTTTTTTTTAGTAAATCAAAGTCTATATAAATGAAAAATCTAATATTAAATAAACACATTAAATTTAAGATGAACTGTCGAATCGTACTATTAAAAAAAAAATTTATACATTTCTATCTCTTTTGTATGCGCGCGCGTCTCGAGCAAAATTCTAACTTGATTTAAATCTGGAAAATAGGAATCTGCGCAGTAAGATAGATAACTATTCATATATTACGCATATTTTGGTTGCTTGTAGAATGACGTTTCAAAATAAAACAGTAATTGATTGTATTTTTCTATTTTTTCCTTAAGTGAAACATCGTAAAAACTTGATTTTATGGTGAATAATGAGATGCTGCAGAATTGTGTAAATTTCTATGACTATAGAAAATGTCAAAGAACTTGGAATTACTCGAGATACAAAAATATGTCATTTCGAGGTTATGGTATACAGCTTCCACCATCCTTGCCAAGGAAATCGAAAACCATTTGGTTGATTACACTAGAGATGACATTGAATACTTAAGCAAATTAATCAATACTAATGTGTAAGTTTTAACAAAAAATACACATTAAAAATTAAATGTTATATAAAATATACTTTGTTATGATTGTCTTTAAAAAAAATAGATTAAAAATTTTTTATCTTACTTATCGTTATAATTTTCAGACTTACATTAAAAAATAATGATCAAAATGAATGGATTAGCAATACATTGTTATTCTGGATTAATAAACATAATTCTACAAAAACCATAGAATTGGATCTTATTCAGTTTCATTATAATTTAAAATTAATTCACAATGAAATTCCAGAAATAGTAAAGAAGGTGTAGTGTTTTTTTGTAATTACAAATATATTTTACATTTCTTAAATAAACCTTTTAGTTCTATTGTGTCATATTGACAACAAAACTAAGAAGCTAAAATAATATAATCAATTTTAAAGCTTATTAAATATGTTAAATGAAATGTGACATAAGAAAACTAAAATCTTTATTGAAAATTTATACTATTTGTATAATCTCCAATGTTTTAATATGTGCAGGAACTATTAGAATTATTTAAATCAGTTTTTTATGCTGAACAAGGAAGCCTTTTGCATATAAATAAAGTTTCTAATAAATTATTTCATTTTTTGGAAACTGGTTTATTTAAAAAACCAACATTAACTTGTTGGCTCGTTAATAATTTAATGCACATATGGCCTGCTTCTTTGTTTTCATTAGATTATATTTTACAAGATATTTATTTGAACATTTTCAAATTACTAATAGGAAAAGAAGATATAAGTGAACTCTATAGTATATTATTGTGTATTTTATCAAAATTAAATATAACGGAATCTATTGAAAATGAACTACTATCCTGGCTTTATTCACAGATTTTTATGATATATGATAATAATCAAATAGAATTAGCTCTATATTCTAGAAAGACATTTAAATTCTTAAAAAAATGGCATCAATTTTTAGATGACAAAAATATTAGATCAACACCTATCGATAGCATAAAGGCAGTTAAAAAAATTAGTAGTGTTATATTTTTCACTAACAACAATTTATATAAATTTAATTTGAATGTTAAAGAACTAACTTTGAGAATAATAATAAGTGGTCTTCATTGGGTCTTAGATATTATGGTACAATCCATTTCATAAATTTTTATTGGATAATTTTTATTTATTTATATATATTTATTATTAATTTATTGTTACAGAATATGTGTTTAGTGCTCCTAAGTAATGAAAACTATGATGAGATTTCTAAGATTTTATCCTGTTCAGCTCTCAGAAATCTCTGGCCATCACTATTGATTCATTTTCTCCATAATTTACCTCATATTCAAATTAGCATTGAAGAAGAAATATGTGAAAAAAGTATTAATATTTGTGAATCAATACATTTTATATTGAACAAGTGTTCCTATATCCGATATGAATATAACGAACCAATACTTATAAATCTTAATGCATACTTGAACTGTCAATTAACTATAGTTAAATGGATTTTAAAACATAGAAAGAAGAATGCACCTACCGTTGTTGATCAAAATTTATCCGTGAAACATATTTTAAGTGGATTACAAAATACTTGCACACTCACAGTACTAAAAAAAAGTATTAACATTCATGAATGTGACTTTATGGAAATAGAGAGACTATTAAAAGATAAAGAACAAACTATGACAGTTTTTAAGTCATATCAAATCATGCAAACTACTTTAAAAGCTATATTAATGCATGAACTTTACAATGCACATACAAAAGAAATTACTGAAAATCTCTATTCAGAGATAGAATCTTTATTGAATGTTATAAGTCCATTGGATTTACGGTTAGAAGTAATTGAAAACATATTCTCCATGTTATTTCTGCGTTATAATGCACATTTTGATGTTACGGAAGGTACATCAGAGGAAGAAGATTATGATACTGCACTAACGGAGAAGGAAAGTCAAAGCTTAGCTTATGAAAGCAGAGAATCAGAGAAATATAGACATGGCTTTATCTGTAATAAATATTCTGTGAATCAATTTTTATATCATTTGAAACGATGCACTGTTCAAATTAGTATTGACTTTGCCAAACTAAGACAAGAAAGCAGAATCACAAAAGATTTAGAAGACTTGCAAAAGAGTATTTTTAACGTAGATAAAGCTATTACAGATGCTTTATGGCGTATAGAGCTTTTAACAAGCCTAGAATTTATTGAAAATAAGGATAATGTAGAGGATTCTTTTATCACTATAAATGATTTAGTTAAGACTTTAGATGAAAAACATGGCTTTAACTTTCGTTTAAAAAACAAATCTATTTTTTATAATGAGCCAACTGGGAGCTCATCTGAAGAAAGTAAATTTGATAAAAAATCAGATATTGATCTATCTTCAGACACAGGTTCGATAGATACTAATCTGAATGCAAACAAATTCAGAAGAAAAGCTAAGAATAATGCACCAACTGTGGAGTTAGTGGGTGTCGTAATGAAACACAGTAACTCCAAGTTAATTATCAACTTAATGTTAGCATCTAAAGAAAGCTTAGTTATTCAGTGTTTATGGAAAGGCAATTACATAAAAGCTCAAGAAGTTATTGAGGTATATATAATTTTTCAATTCTTGGATTTCATTCAATGATTATGAATAAACCGAATAGCTCATTAAGGATGTCTGTAAAATTCCTTGTAGCACTTTTAAATTTGTTTATACATGTTTATACAAGTAACCATTTAGATTAATTCCAATTTTATTTATAAATGATTTATTTTTCAAAGAATGTGTCTGAAAGCACTGTGTGATATCAATATAAATCATTATAAAAATGTAATGCACAATTGATTTGATAAATTTTAACACTGTTCAACTAGTAACAATTAATAAATCTATTTTTATTTGTCACTATTTTAAAATTATGGAATTCTGTGGTAATATTAGTAATCCTTATATTTTAAAGTATTTTAATTGGTTAAAAGTATTATTTTAAAAGTAACAACATTTGTGACTACAAAAAAGATTAATTGTACTATAATCTCGTTATATAAATGTATAATACTTAGGCTTATTTTTATAATATTATACACTATGTTTGTTGTTAATTTTTTCATAGAACCACGTTTGTCTGTAGAATTATTATAACCAAGTAATTTTCCTATTATATTATAATGTAAAAATGCAACAATCTGTATTTATTTATTTGTGTTATTAGTAATGAATTTAATATGTTTTGTTCAATTCGTCATCATTGTAATCATCCTCGTATGATAAAACATAATGACACCGTATTTGTTCCTGTCAATTCAAATAATATTTTTCTTCTAATTTCTTATTTAATAAATTAAAAATTTTGTTCTACAGACTATTTATAAAATTAATTAAGAAGACATGAAAATCAATACACAATATTGATATTAATTTTTCAATTAATTTAAACTTCATTTTGATAGTTGTGTAAGTAATACAAATATAAATTGCTTACAGATGTTTAATATGAGAAATACGTATTTAGATGGTCAAGTTCGATTTTCACAAGCAATGCAAAATTTTCGGCAAGAAATGATGAAACAAATTCATGCATCAGACACTTTGGATTATCCTATAAAAACTAAAGAATTTCAGATGTTGGAGGTAATTTTCACACAATAATAATATATTATAATTAACGTACAATAATTATATTACAAGTTTCACTTATTTATTTACTTATTAAATCTAATTAAAAAAATCATTAGCTATAACTTATTTTTTATATTGTGAATTATAGTTTATGAATTGGTTTAAATGTATTTTTTCAAACATAAGATACATTAAATGGATTTAATTATATGCACGTGAAATTTGGTTGCATACTTTATTCTTCAAATTAATTAATTAATTAATATTATTTTATTTTAAATAATTTTATAATTTCTTATTAATTTTTTTATCTACAAAGCATTTTATTTTTTTTCATTAAATTAATGTTTAATATTATAAAATAAATATAAATAATTCAGAATGTTCGTCGAGCAGCACAAGGTGGTTACTGGAGCTCTCGAATGACTAATCAGCTAGAGACATTCGTAGCCTCTCAAGAGTCGAACGCTCGGCTTCTTTGCTCTAACGCAAACGGTGCCCGTGAAATCCTTGCGCTCTGCGTGCTTGATCTTGCTTTAACGACGAATCAGAACCATCAACCCACCGCTAATCTACTCGATGTAGCTGTGAAGTATTTGAAACTGTCGTATAAA